TTGGTATAGGCAAAAATATTTTCCTTCGTTCTCGCCAATATGCAAACGAAGAGGCTTTTCAAAACGTATGAGTGTGGTCAGGAAGAAAAGTCATTAAATTATCACGTGAAGGTAAATTAATTCTGGAGTAATTTAAGCATGTGAAAAATAACGATTAGATCAGACGTTCGTGTCATTTTTGGACCTGTTTATACGTCGTAATGGAAACTTTGTTAATTAAAAGGGCACGTTTTGTTGAAAGGGCATTTTGTCCGTAGAACTTGACAGTTGCGATGCACATGTAAATGAGTGAAAGGCCTTCAATCAATTTAATCTCAATCTCTAGAGGGAAATAAGAACATTCATCAAATTATTATCTACTATTTTTTTTGTTATTGTAAAATGGAATATCTGTATTGCGATCTATTTATATCCTGCCTCCGCTATGGACCAAACAGCCATTTTTTTTTTAAGTCATTGAGCTGTATAACAATAATTCAACTGTTTTTGCAAACAAAGGTATGTTATATTCAGCGCTACTTTACCACCTCAATTCTTTTAAAATTGGGTACGGTTTTTCAGCTTTGAAATATTTCTTGCATTCTGTTTATCAAAGAGCTGCTTCCTTTTGGAAGGCCATCACTTTTTTTAATCGAGAGGTTCGGGAAATGATTTTGTAAGCTTGATCTTCGTAGACTGATAGCTTTGATATACAAAATTTTGTTATGGAAGACTGCCACTTATTTGCCTAAACACCGAAACACAAAATGTTCTACAGATTTATCTATGTATAATAATAAGTTCAAGAAATTTCCATTTGAGAATCCTGGAATAATATGTCCCACTACTTATAAAGTGACTTTTTGGATCGATCTACACGAGGTCTTATTTCCGAGCTAAATCTCTTTGATGAGGCAGCCGGCATAAGCCAATAATAAAAGTAAATAGTTTCGTAAACAACATGTGCACGAGTGACTGTTCCCTGAAAGATATCTGATAGGTTTCATTTACATAAATCGTTGTGTTCTTGTAGCTTATATTGCGATCCGTTTGAGTGAAAGACCTCGAATCAGAAAATTCGAAATCGGCGGAGGAAATAAGATTGCTCACTATATTTTTTATCTACCACATTTTTCTCGTAAATGGAATAACAGTTTTATTATTATGGATAACATAATCTGTGTGGCGATTTCAACAGGTTTTAGATTTCAACATCAACTGTTCATATCATTTTTTCTAAGAACGAAAGATGTAAATGAAATCCAGAATTTTGAAGATAGAAATTGAATGTTTTGCTACCCTACCTAAAACTGACAGCGATATGTTCCTGAATTAGGAAAGGGAAAGGGGTTGTTTTTTAATATTTTTTCAGAATAATATGTTACGAGATGTTTCTTATTTCAATTTGATGAGGCATACGTTCATAGGAATAATTAAATGGTACCAGAGCTAATTTCTTTCGAAGAAACCTTCTCTTAATTCTTTAAGAAAGGGGAGGTTTTTATTGAGAAATGCTCATAGGGATAATAGAATGGTACCAGTGCTAATTCCTTCAAAGACATTCTCTCCTAAAAAACTGATAATCGATAACCGGGAGATGTACGATTAAGAAATTTCCAAACAGTGTTTGGGAGTCTTATTAAAAAAGTTTCCCATTAATGATATGTATACAAGAGATCATATTCTATTGTGCATAACGTGACTTCTTGGATATACACGAAAAGGTCCAATTTTCGGGGTAAATCCCTTTGAAAAAGTAGCTGGAATAAGTCAATGAAAAAGCAAATAGTTTTGTAAAAAAAATTGCACGAGGGACTCATTTACATAATTATTGTAATCTTGAAAAGGTCAGGATGTGATCAAAACAAACTCACATTCATTTACAGAGAAAGCCCTTGTCTTTACGAATTGTGATATATCTGAACCAATCAAATGATTGATTTGCGAAATCCTGTCGTTCAGAGAAATATATCTATTATAAGTTCTCAAAAAAGAGTGAATATAGATGACAAGTAGATCTGCGTTACAGAGATTGTTTGAGAATTGTTGTTGCTCATTTTATTATCTTATGGAAGGAGAAACTTATTTTCTCTTAGATTTAGAAGGGAAAAGTTCCTAGGTAAGGGAAAATCTTTCAAAAAACAAGCGTAGTAAGTTAATAACACGCTACACGTTCTGCAACCATCATTTTCATAAGGGACTTTTTCCTAAATGTCTGCCTTCATTTACATTCAAGTGGCATTTGTGTTTATGCGGAGAAAGTCATGCCATGATAAAATCAAAGTGCTCTGTGAGCAAACTCGTGAATTGACACATGATTTTTTAGATTATGTTTAATGTTATCTGGTTTAGGGAATTTTGTGGTTGATTGTCATATCTAGAGTACGAGCAGTAGTTCAGTGTTCGCTGATGTAGCAAAGAAACAAAGTAACGTTGGGATAAGAAGGCATTACAATTGAAATGATCATGCTATTACATTTGACAAGGTGGATGATGTCATGTGTTTTAAACGTCTATCATTTTTGTTTCTGGTTCAAAAGAAAAGGTTGAAGTAAATGTGGGTGAAAAGTGAAATTTACTGTCTTTCGTTGTAATTATTAGAAAATCAAGGCAATACTGTCTTAATGAAAACATTAACGATTCCCTCTTTATCAAATGAGACAAACGGGAACGAGTTTTGAGTGATATAACTAAGCCAAGCCTGCCACCGTCACTTTGGATCTCCGCCTGGGTAGATTTAAGTCACGTGCTAGGCAACGTATTATCAATAACAAGATAGAATTTCATTTCAGGCCTATTTATCAATCTTGTGGTGTGTAACTTTCGCATTTTAGTACGTTGTATGTATGTTGAATCTTCAAATTGTCTTGAAACTTAAAAGAAAATTGTTCTTTAAAAATTCACTGAAAATCGGTAGCTAAAATTGTTTGTTTAGGTGTTATTTGATTTTCGTGTTGACTTGTTATTTCGTCAGTCGCTGGCATCTTCTGTTGCTTCACACAGGAAAAACACACGCGACGAAACGTAATGATCAATTTTGTCCTCAATCTCACGCTATAACAGAAAAAGCTTTTGAACATCTGTAAACTCCGAGCGCTTAGCAGTAAGTGATATTTTCAATGAATCTTCGGATTGTTTTCAAGTTCAAGGATTGTAAATTACAATTTTATGAAAAACGAAGGTTGTTCTGTTATTTCAGTGTGAATCCTCGCATGCCTGCCAGTCGCTGGCGCCGCTTGTTGAAACTAAAACGAAAAAAAAAAACTCTTTTAAGATTATCATTGGCTTCTTTTTCACCCCACCACTATTCTTAGCAACAAAGGTCGACATTTCGTCTGTTTATTGTTCGCCAAAAACTATAAAATGCACTCAAAAGCCTAAAATCTAAAAAAAGTTTACAGGAATCGACCAATCGAGCGAGCGAGCGAGCGAGCGAATTCCATTCCCCACATCGTATCTATAACTCGCTCTTGCGCATGCGCGCAATTCACGAGTTAAAAAACAAACAAACAAACAAAAAAACACTCCGATCTTACAAAGTTAGTTCTAAGACTTACCACGCTACGTCAATTATTGACTAATATCAAAGACAGACACGAATCGAGGAACAGACAAGGAGCGGTTTATAAGATCAGTTGCTCCGACTGCCACGCCTCCTACATCGGTGAGACTGGCAGAAACCTCACAACCTCATTAACTAGGACTCTGCGCAATGCCTAACCTACAGCACCCACTACTTTCAACGACTGACCCTGGAAAGCTGGTTTACTAACTTGGAACAGACTCCACTCAACAGGTGCCAACCACTACCGTCACCATACAAACGACTCATCCACGATATTAACATTACAAACGAACCGAACAGAACGACCTAACTTCACTAACGGATCCAAACCGACCAATCACGACTGACCTACGCTACTTGAGTCTTACAGCCAATAACATCACGGAAAAATTGACCGATCAGTGTACACAAACCGGACTAAGTACATTCGACTGATAACAAGCTTTGACTTGACTCTGATATGACTTCCGCTCAGGTTGTCGCTCAGGTTGTCGAAACGTCAGTCACCACTACCGACAACAGTCCTTCTCAGGACTACACTCACCCGGACGATAAAATTACACTATCACATATTTTCTCTTTCTTAATTCAGAGTGAACTCTAGAAAGTAAGGAAGTTGTTTAATCTCAATTCCAGCAGGCCGGCTTTTAAGGAGTGAAACACTTGAGGCCACTCATAATAAGACACACCAGAATATTTGAAAACAAGTTGTATGCGTAGGTATTAGACTTAACTCGATTGAAAGGTCAATGCTTAAATAACACAACACAATGGATTGAAACAGGAATTATCTTCAGAGATTTTAGACCTCACGTATCCTATAAAAGCTATTTCTTTCCTTCCGTTCATTTTTTCTGAGAAAACAGTAATTGCCCGCGATAACGGGAGATGTACGTTCAAGGAATTATTTGAGAATTGTTGAATTTTTGACTGGCCATTTCTGAGCATGCATCGGACACAAATCCACGAAAGCTTTTCTTTTTTTTTTCCTTTTTGTGGGTAGATCCTTGTAAAACAGCACCTGAAATAAGCCAATAAAGGTCAAAACGCTCTGCAAACATCATGCGGACGAAGAAAATTTTCCGGATGGCTTGACAAGCCTTCGTTGTTCGGGAAAGGGAGTCAAGGCAATTATCTTTCTACAGGGACAGCCCCTTTTTTTAATAAAACCTGTGATAAGCGAACCCATCAAATGATTTTTCGTCAGTGTAGCACTCTTTAGCGAGGATAATTCTAAGTAAATGAATTTTGTTAGCTGAATTACAATTTTATACCTTCTTGAGCGGCACGGTTTGTTCGAAGAAATGTTTTTTCACTAGGCAAGTTGACGCACCCAACTAATTTTCTGTGTTGCTGTATCTACACAATTTTGTCATTCCCAGTTTTCCTTAATGTAACAATTTTGATTCCCTTTGCCTGACCTTACTCTGCAGGAATACGAATCGTGCAACTAAGAATGGGGGAATTCCTCAGTGAGTTGGCCAATGTTGTCATTGACCTGAGCGTCGATCAGTCATACTCGGACATGAAAGACGCCGAAAAGTTAAACGATAATGCAGAAGATATGTTTCGCAAAGTAAAGGAAGCAATCCAAAGTCTCCGTGCAGCGGCTGATAAACTTGACGAAGTGTGGAGTGATGGCAAGATAACTCGTATAGGTGGAACTTCCGTTGGTGTAGTGGGAGGAGTCCTCACCATCATCGGAGGAGTTGCAACGATTATGACGCTAGGGGCTGCTACACCCTTGTTAGTTACAGGAATAAGCTTTGGCGTCATCGGAGCTGGTACAAACATAGCGGGAAATATTAAAGAGTCACTCATCAACTCGAAAGAAATCAAGAAAGCTGACAGTGACTTAAAGGAGGCTCTGGATAGCATAGAGAATGTTAATGAGACCATCAACGAGATGTTGGATCACAAAGATATACCCAGATTGCGCAACATTTGCAAGCTGGCTGAGGCTAATAGTTGGGGCAAGCCAGTGTGCAAGCTCTTCTGTATGATTTTGCTTGCCGCCGAAGAGGCTTATAAAGAAAGCCAGGCCTTTGCAGGACCGGCAGCCAAATTCGTTGCCTCAGAAGCTGGTAACGCAGGTATAAAGGTGACTGGAATACCTGGTGTAGGAGCTGCCGGAAAGGCTGGTGCAAAGTCTTCTGGCAAGGCTGGTGCAAAGTCTGCTGGCAAGGCTGGTGCAAAGTCTGCTGGCAAGGCTGGTGCAAAGTCTGCTGGCAAGGCTGGTGCAAAGTCTGCTGGCAAGGCTAGTGCAAAAGCAGCTGGGAAGGCTGGTGCACAAGCAGCTGGGAAGGTAGGTGCAGGAGCCGCCGATGAAGTCTTAAAAGTTGGAACCAAAGCAGGAGGCAAACTTGCTGGTGGCTTGATCGTTGGAATCAGCACTGTATTCCTGGCATGGGATATTGCCGAACTTGGCTTCACTATCAGAGATCTCCTGGAAAAGAAAGGATCAGACGCCGCCAAAGAATTGAGGCAGAAAGCGGAGAAGCTTGAGAATACTATGAAGAAATTAGAGGAGGAAGGATCGATCTAAATTCGGTCAATGGACCATGAAAACGTAGCCATGTAGAACAAGCACAATTGACATGAACACTGAACCTTGAAAAAAAAAACTTCCTCTAGGCTCCTTTTTAAACTTTTGTGGAAAACTATAGTACCCTCTGCGCAATAAAGCACCGATAGAAATATCATTCGTATATTCTTAAGCACAGTCCAATTGTTGAACCTGTTAAAAGACAAAATAAACATCGAGCAAGAATTTTCATTATAAGTGTTTTTTGACGTAATTAAACTTTGAAATTGAATGGAAATAATATATTGCCATTTGCCATTCAGTAAAAATGATAATAAGCCAGTTGATCATTTCTTATTCCTTTTGGCGGTCTATCTTACAGGTATAATTTAGCACGCTCGACACCTTTTCTTCTTTGAGGTGACTTATGGTGTAAACATGTAGTACTCATCCTCTGCACTGAATCTATAATCAGGTAATTTACACGAATAGCACGTAGCTCTTTTGGGGGGGGGGGGTACCTTGGGTACGCCCTTGCCTCTCCGAATTTTCTCTTTATTCTGCGGTTATGCAACAGTCTTCAAGGATTATTTTCTCTTTAGATATATTTTTAAGTATAATTTTAATTCTGTTAGTAAGTTTATTATAATTTTTCTATCGTCAATCTTGTTTTCTTTTTTCCCGAACGTAACCGTAAGACAAAGAAATTTAAGGTAGAAAGTCATTTTGTAAAGCGTAAACATCGCGAAGGTACCTCGTACGTAGCTTAACGTGATTCACTAGTTAAGTGTAAAAGCATGACGAAGGTTAGAGATTGACAGCTCAGTAAGCGTCACTTTTATAAGCGGTGACCACCACTTTCCTTGAGAGTTTAGAGCTAGTCCCGAGGTAATAAGTTGTATGTAAGAGGGAGAAGAATAAAGAAAACTTCAACTGGTTCAAGAGAGTTAGAAAAAACATCTACAAACCATACTATTTACCTCGAATTTCTCCGAGATTACAGCTGTTGAAGAAAGTATCAGTCAATCGAAATCGCCGTGAAATTCGGAAGGAACCTCTATTCCGTAGATGAAATGTAGCAAACGCACAGAGGAACCTGGAAAATGACTTAAAATGGCTTGAAATTGAACCTTTTTTTTTTCAAACGGTTGTAGTGACGAGAATATCCTAGATACAATTTGTTTAAATCACTGCAGTAAGCCTCAAGGTTCGATCGACCCTTAATATAGATATATGCACTCGCACGTCCAAGTAACAGAAAGTGTCAATATCTTCGGGAATCAAGCAGTAATCGAAAAGGTCACGACGTCAATAAGCTTCAGTCAGAAAAAACTATTAAAGTGGTTGTGTCACAGTTTTCTTTAAAAACTCCACGCTGTTATGCCGGTGTAATCATGCATGATTTGGCTATAGTGGTACCGGTCACACAACTCCTCGATAATTATTTAACTATAAGGGCGTCACGCGTCACGGCAAACCTCTTTGTTTTTTTACCTTCTCGGGTGGTATAGAGACTCATACCGATGATATATTCGTATTATGTCCTTGCTTTGATAATCAGCCAATTTCAAGCACACTCCAGAATTTAAGTGTTGAGTAAGATATAGTCATGAGCAAGGATGTTTTTGCGTCATGTCACGGGCGTAGGTCGGAAAAAAATATTCTGAGTTCCAGCGAGCAATCGAACCTCAGACTTTCGTATTCCGCACACCGATGCGCTATCACTAAGTTACATTGACTATACGGTAAGCTAAGCCATTGTTTTTTCCGAGTATATTATTAATTCGACATTTGCACTCGAAACACATTTGAGTTCTCTCCTTCTGTGATTTCTTGCTTCTAACCACTTGCGCATTAATTCCAGTTCTTGCCGTGACACTACAGAAGACAGTAGAATTAAGATAGCCATTTCAGGATTGCGCGTGATTGACAACAAAGCTTTTCCTTGCAGAAATATCTGAATAGGTCTTGAATACCTCTAGGAAAAGTTTTCAATTCCACGAACTGATATCCAAAAGTGTTAGCCGCTAAATAAGTTTGTCTCCTTGAAAATAACTTGTAGCTCTGTCTGTCTATGAGCAGCCGTTGCCGCCGCCATAGGCAAGCATGTCATATAATTATCGGCTCAGAACTATTAAGAAAGAACTGAAAAATTGATAAACCGTCGTGCAGATGGTAACTGCATCAATTCTTTTCATTGTAAACTTATTTTTTTCTTAGAAGAACTTTGAAGGTTGCATTCAAAAAGCTGTTCGTAGAAAAGTCGGGGCATGATACTTATATCGATCAAAACAAACTATTGAGTGTTTACTGGGAAAGCCCTTCTTCGATGAATTCTACGATAAGGAACCAATCAAATGGTTTGTCTCTGTAACACTATGGTATCGAGAGATCTAATTAAATGACCGCAGTGTACGGAGTAAATGACCATTACAGTTGTACCTTCTCTAACGACGTTTACGCTCATACGAAGAAACTGTGGCAAAGCCAAATCTCCAGGTTAGTAATATGTTTCTTCATTTTTTATAGCTAAATTAACTCTTCAAATTTACGGCATTTTAACGTCTAATCCTCTGCTCCGAGTAACGCGCGATCCAAAAATCTGATTTACGTACATTCAGTTGGTGAGTTCGGTTGTCTAAATATTATTGTCGTTACTCGGCGCTTGTTTACCACCTTGCTTCGATACCTTCATGTCTGATCAATCTTCTAAATCTGAACGGTTTTTTTTTAACCGTGAGATGTGTCCTGTGATCTCCTTGTAATAATCATTCGATCATCGACTCTTATTGATAACTTCTTCAGAATTGATCTATTATCGTCATGAAATAACTGTCGGTCTTACCTTTAAAGAAATCAGTTCGAAAAATGTTTCTAAACCAGTTCCCAACCATCCAAGTTAGCACAGTGTTGCACCGCGAATGGATATTTCTCTGTGGTTCCGCAGAGAAAATTCACTTTGTGACTGAATTGTGTCTGAGAAAACTGTAGATATTGTTTATCGGCGGATATAATTTAAAACGATGTTTTGAGAATTTTTGACACTTGATTGTTCCTTCAAATACGGAGTCACTCGCATGCATCAAATGTGAACCAGCAATAGCCAACGATGAATAATTTTTTTCCGGACTCAAATAGGAGATACTTCGTTTTCAGGGAAAAAAACATACACACGAGGGACTCTTTCTTAGAAGAAATCTGATATGTTTCATTTACAACGCCGTCGTATTCTTGAAAAGGTCAGGGCACGATGAGGACAAACGCTTTATTAACTGCACAAATTAAAGGGAAAGCTGTGTTTCTACCGTGACAGGGTAGGGAGCAACCATTAGAGTTACTTACTCCTTTGCGAAGTTTAATGCTAAACTTAAGAACAATGTGCAAATCTAAATGGAAATGATAAAAATAACAAATAGTAAAAGAGACTGCAACCAGAAATTTCATCAGAAGTATCAAAGGTCTTTTAAAGTTTTCCTCCCATTTTCCGAAAACTAGCATGATTTTTGTAACGTGGATTTCTCAGAAAGAGCTTTGAGCAAAATACTTGTATTTCACATGAAACGCATTAGGTTTAAGTGTTCTTTCAAATTTATTTTATAAAGGAAGACTGTGAAAGATTAACAGTTTCTTTTAGCAAAACATCTGATGGTTTTATCAGTAAATGACTTCCCGTAACCGTGAGTTTCAACCGCTTCTTTTGGCATCCACGGCTTATAAATGGTGATAAATAATTTGAAATTGCTCTAGATAATTTCACGGGCTCGATAGATAAAAGCAATTACTTTGCTTTTGTATGAGGGAGGACTAGCTAAGCTTCAAGATCAGAGATCTCGAGGAAAACAAAGGAATAGACGCCGCCAAATATCTTCGACGAAAAGCAGGAGCTTTAGAATATTATTAAGGAATTAGAGAATGAAGGACCCATCCAAATTGATTCAATGAATAAAAAAACTTAGCAATGAAGGGCAACCATGAAAGATAAGCTTCGAAAAGTTGAATATGCTATAGCTTTGGTTTTTATTTACCACGGATGATATCAGTGTGGAAATTTCCAATAGCCTTGCACAGTGAGATAGAAACCTGCTAAAGCCAAAGACAAAGATATCTTATCTTTCTTCAGAGTCCAATCTTTGAGCCGTACGTTCTGCAGCTAATGTAGTATTTTAATCCTTTAGAATAGAAAGTTTGCATTTACCTAAGTTTTCAGGTCATTTTTATGTTTGACACGAGGATACTGGCGATGCATAAAATTACAACTGATTAGGAAAAATATATCGCCGTCAGTAAAGTTTAAGAGGGATTTCTGTTTCCATCATAATCTCAGCTAAATTCAGTAATTTAGACATACAAGTAGAAGAGGCTAGAAAATGACCCACTCTTCCAAATATTAGGAAAATTGAGTGAAAACAAATTTTTGTCGAGAGCAAAACGTTGCTACTCGTTAATTACAACACAAAGCAATTGTAAGATACCAAACAAAGCTTACAAACATTAACAAAAACACGCGCAACAACGAGGACGATAACAGCATGCTAATACCTTACATATTTGCCGTGTGAGAGTGCTGTTCAGAAAATTGTCTTTGATAATGCAACAGCAAGGAAAATGACAGCATACTTACCGTATGGGAGTTCTGTTCGGAAATTATCTTTGATAATATTTCTCTTAGACAGACTTTAGGAGTTTAATTTTCTTTATGTGTTTCCACGGGGAGACTGATCCATAGATGGGCGCCATTATAACTAAACCTACGCTTTACGTGGTCAGTTCTTGGTATGAGAAGGGATATTATGAAATTAATTTTGCCTTTGTGGTCATCGTAACTCAAAGTTCCCGGAATTTTAAATACCTTACACTTTAGGTAGCCAGTTCTTGGTATAGGAAGGGACCATATGAAATTTTGCCTTTGTGTCAAAGACATCGTAACTCGAAAATATCTGCGTTTTAACTAAAACTACGCTGTAGTCAGTTCTTGATATGGGAAGGAACAGCATGAAATTTTAACTTTGTGTCAAGGACATCGTAACTCGAAATTCCCGGAATTTTAACTAAAACTGCGCTTTAGATAGTCAGTTCTTGATATTGAAAGGGGAGATGAAATTTTGCCTTTGTGTTGTGAACATTGTGACTCAGTATTCCCGGAATTTTAACTAAAACTAAGCTTTACGTTGTCAGTTCTTGACATGGAAAGGGACAACATGATTTTGCATTTTTGTCATAGACATCGTAACTCGAAAATCCCGGCATTTTGACTTAAGCTAAACTTTAGGTAGTCAGTTCTTCGTTTGGGAATGGATAACATGAAACATGTTTAGCCTTTGTGTCGAAGACATCGTAATTCCCAATTCCCGGAATTTTAACTTTAACTAAGCTCTAGGTAGTCAATTCTTGGTATTGGAAGGGGCAATGTGAAATTTTGCCTTTGTGTCGTGGACATTGTGAATAGAAATTCTTCGCATTTTAACTAAAATTACGCTTTAGGTAGTCAATTCTTGATTTGGGAAGGGAAGTTATGAAGTTTTGCCTTTGTGGACATCGTAACTCGAAATTCCCGGAACAGTAACTAAAACTGCGCTTTAGGTAGTTAGTTCTTGGTATTGGAAGGGGAGATGAAATTTTGCCTTTGTGTTTTGAACATTGTAACCCTGTGTTCCCGGAATTTTAACTAGAACTAAACTTTCGGTAGTCAATTCTTGATATGGAAAGGGACAACATGAAATTTTGTATTTGTGTCGAAGTCATCGTAACTCGAAATTCTCGAAATTTTAACTTAAAGTAAGCTTCAGGTAGTCAATTCTTGATATTGGAAGGGACAAAATGAAATTTTGCCTTTGGGGGATTGGACATCGTAACTCGAAATTCTCGGCATTTTAACTAAAATTACGCTTTAGGTAATCAATTCTTGATATGGGAAGGAAAGTTATGAAGTTTTGCCTTTGTGGACATCGTGACTCGAAATTCCCGGAACGGTAACTAAAGCTTCGCTTTAGGTAGTTAGTTCTTGGTATTGGAAAGGGAGATGAAATTTTGCCTTTGTGTTTTGAATATTGTAACTCAGTGTTCCCGGAATTTTAACTTAAACTAAGCTTTAGGTGGTCAATTCTTGGTATCGGAAGGGACAATACGAAATTTTGCCTTTGTGTTGTGGACATTGTAACTCGAATATCTCGGCATTTTAACTAAAATTACGCTTTAGGTAGTCAATTCTTGATATGGTGAGGGAAATTATGAAATTTTGCCTTTGTGGGCATCGTCAATCGAAATTCCTGGAACGTTAACTAAAACGGCGCTCTAGGTAGTCAATTCTTGGTATTGGGAGGGACGATACGAAATTTTTGCCTTTGTGTCGTGGACATTGTAACTCATGCAGAGATCCCGCAATTTTAACTAAAACTAAGCTTTAGGTAGTCAGTTCTTGGTATGGGAAGGAACAACATGAAATTATGCTTTTGTGTTGAAGATATCTTTTTGTATATCAGTGGCTTGTGCATGGAAATAAATGGCCTGTCTCGCTTAAGTGCATACAACGAAACATGACGAGGCTGTTTTACAAATCTCATGCACTTAGGCCTCCTTTCACGCGAGTTTTCCACCACAGTCAATCTTTCTCCAGTTGGTTTGGTTCATTTGGATGTCATCTACATCTATTGTTTTAAAGATTGTAATTTTTTCCTTGAGGCAATCGCCAGAAACTCTGTTTTGGCGTTACAGATACCTAACCTTTTAGCTTTAAGATTAAGATCAACATGCTTCCGTTTATTATTGACTTGAGTTTCAAGATAAGCTAGTTAGAGCCAGTAACATTAGTGTGGTTGGCATTCATTCGGTGGTGAGAGCTCTTATTTTAGCAATTTAGTGGTTCATTTAGGCGGATCAGGGAGAAAGGGGGCCGGTTAAAATTATTCACTTTTGGGGAACTTCACAGTTTAGGCGGCCCAAGTTAGAAAGGAGGTTGTTTACATTGCATCTTTGAACACGATTCCAGATCATCTTGCCCACGGCAGGAATAACATGTACAGATGTTTGAGCGGTTCCCCTCTAAACGAACTTCTTAAGGATGATACTCAATAGTCCCCTCAAAGTTTTTTTTTTAATTGACGGGGAGCGCTGTGAAACATCCTGTAGAATTGCCTAGAAGGAGAGCAGGTTAGGTGCAATGGACAAAAAATCGTTTTCTAAGGGCGTAATCAAGAAATTTTTCCGATATTTACAAAACTGGTAAAGCTAAGTTTAAGTCTGGTCTAAAATAGGATTGCAAAATGCTTACGAATACTCAAGTGGGCCTGGTGTTGTAGTCGCAAATCCACAATTTATTCTCAAACTCTAACAATCGAGATCAGGTCAGACCACATACACTTCTTAACCTTTGCACGATTCGCTAAATGGAAAATATACGAGCGAATAAGTAAACCTTGGAATTTCCAACACTGAACTGTCTCTTCATCCGACTAAAGAACTCACAATATGTGGGAGCTTTTGGAAATCCGCTGTCAAACTAATGAAAACAACTATAAACATGGCGACTCATTCTCCTCGTGTTTGCTATAAGACCGCTGTGCCTGTGCACATGCTTCCCAACACTAGAATAAGAAATCGTCTAACAAATGAAAATATTCAATAAAAATGGTAACAACAAGTGTATGCAAAGCTTTTCACAGTACCAACGGCAAATCATCCTAATAATTGACCATGTACACCTTCTCGCCCCGCCCCCTCCCTTAGAAAATTAGCAGCGAAACATTTCAAAGGAGAAATGGTTAATAATAGGCGCTGAAACAAACAGAGATGAAGCCTTGACCTTTATGAGTATCACGTGCACAGAAGCCTTCTTTATTCGTATAACCAGGTCTGAAATACCACAGTCAAGACTTTGGCAGAATCATAGCAAAGGGTGGTATCGAGCAAACCCCAGCCTTTTTGGTGCAAAGCTTATCGACACTCGGCAAAAATCTATGAACGACAAACACTACACAAAAGAGACTTTGGACTTTCACATTCAGCCTGCTTAAGCTGCTTTTTATTGGTTGGCCTTTTTCCAGAGTTATCCAGGAATTTCACTGTTCGTATTTCCACGAATTGAAACTAAAAATGCGAACCAATCAAATAAGCTTGTCTGTGATTAAACAGTATACTTTACAGAAATCTGGTTGGTTCTGCAGAGGAGGCTCAGTGACACGTATGCTGAGGAGGCTGAGTGACACGTACGCAGAGGAGGCTTAGTTATATGTAAGCAATTTGATTTCACTGCATTCGTGGATCAGAGTTGCGGAGTTTTCCACCAAGCGGTTAACGAACTTGCAGGAAACAGGTAAGGTGAAGCGGACCCGATAAATCACAAGGTTTTCCTTTGTTTTTACTGAAGTTAGATTTCTAAGTCAGCCGATACTGTCGAAGCTTAATCTGTCATTAGATCGGAGTATATTCGCGAGAAGATAAATGGCAAACTTTTCCTTCTCGAACGCCGGAAATTGACGGATCTTGGTCAACTTCGTCCGACTCATTTTTTAATTCAAGAAGTTTCTACTCTTCCCCGTAAAATTCATTATCATTACGGATTTCATTGCAGTCATAGATCAGTGTTGCGGTAACTCGGACTGAGTTAAGCAGGATCTTTCGCATCACAAGGTAAGCCTTGATTTTGTGCCCTTTTTTTCATTCTGTTAGTAATACTGAACAGGCTTAATTCATAATCGTATCGAAAGAGAAATATGTCTAAACTCAGCGATTGGTGAATGCAAGAGAAGTTTAACCTAATCCTCCGGGTAAAGGGTTTATCTCGGTGGAATGTGACGAGCTTGTTTGCTTGTGGAATAGTTTTATCTTTTCTACATCGAAAGTTGTTTTTACAGGAATTCAAATATTGAAAATAATAGTTGGTGAATCTTGGTCAACATCGTCTGACTCATTTTTCAAGTAGCTATATATTGTGCTTTTCCTGTCGAATTCATTTCAGTAACTAATTTTCTTGCAGTCATCCGGATCTTAAGCTGACGGCATCGTAAACATTTGACTTCAGCTGAACAGTATCTTATACTTCAAAAGGTTAGTCTTTAGATCTTTTAGTCATAGCTTTTTAATTCTGGTAGTAAAACTGAAATCGAGCATGCTGTGCTAAATCTATTTTCACATCAAAATAGACACTGTTCATCGAAAGTATTCAAAGCGAGTGAACTGACAAAAGTATTTAAATTGCATCTCAGTAAATCTTGGCGATTGGTGAATACGGAGACGTTCAGACCTATCCTCAGGAAAAATGGTTTGATCTCAGCGAAATGTGACGAACTCATTTGCTTGCTGAATAGATTTTACCTTTTTCTATCGAATAATGGGTTGACAGGAATCCAAATATTGAAAGGAATTGAAAAACATCTAAGAGAAATTTCTCGATTACTTCCATGTAAACAACAGTAAATTATTCATCGCAGTAACTGTTTATAAAATAATTCCCCAAAATATTGTGCCACTATGGCCATTACTCGTTTCTTAGAACTGTCTTAGTAATTTACTATTCAAACATTTTGCTAATAATGATAGTTGTATGACAACAAGCCATGATCATCTCACACCTGAGCTGCAATGTTAGCACGGGATTCGAACTCTTGCTTTCCACTGAAATACTAATTGAGCACTACTATCATCTGAGCTGAAAATTTCAAATTTCAAAATTTTGACAAGCTTGCCCCTCGTAACATACCGCATGCAGCAAGAAATTGTTTGTATTTCTAAATTTTGAGATATCTCAGGGGTTTGGAAAGCATTTCAATTTTGATATGTGTTATTCGGAGGTTTGACATAATTTATTTAAAAACACTCGTCAAAAGCACTATTTTTTTTCTTGGGTGATATCTCTTGAGTCCAGGCCATACCACTAAAAACTCCGCTTGATATATTCTAATAATAAGGTATTTGAAATCGTTAACATATAAAAATGTCTAGCACCTGTGATGTTTTGAATGGATTTCAAAACAAGATGCAAACGATTAACAACGATTTAATAAACAGTTGTAAGAAGACGTGTTACAGCATCGGTGGACGCCATGGTCATTCTGCTACATATATCCCATAGTTCCTAGCGAACATCCGGTATCGATAACTTCCGGTTTACATGAACATTACAGCACCCATTAAATTTCTTCGCCGCAGTAACTTTCAGATTGTAGTGTGTTCTCACGTAGATTGCGTGAGTGAGTCATTGGTCACGGTGTCTTTCAGAGTGTGCTGTTATCGCCGGTTACACCATATAAAATACTGTAGTTTGGTTCTGAAATGTTGATTAGATTTTAATGGCTCAAGCTCTCTAAACTAAAATATAAAACAACAGAATTAAATTTTTTAAAAAGCGTTTGCCATTAAAACGTTGAACACTATGATATTCAATCTGTAGTTGTTCACCTCTTTCGTCGCGAGACAAGGATTTGCCAGATTTTAGCCGTTTAATCAAAATGTTAAGAGTGTCAATGACTGATCAATTAGTGTGTTCTAAGAGCTCTGTCCCGCTATCTTTCAACCTAAAATGGTTAAAATCTAAGATTTATGAAATTACTAATGTAAGGGAGTCAGAGTTTGCTCAGCATACTGATTTACATAATTCGGCTGTCACGCTAGCAAATTCACCAAACGTTTGAAGTCACCACGGTAAAGGAAATTAATAAGTGCCAGATATTTTTTATTTTTATGCTTTCAAACATCTTACTAGAAAATATCAAACGGAGTTTTCAATGGTATGGTCTGGACTTAAGAAATATCACCCAAGAAAAAAGAGTACTTTTGACGAATGTTTTTAAATAAATTATGGCGTACCTGTGAGTTAACACATATCAGAATTACAAAATGTTTTCCAAACCCCTGAATTTTCACACGATTTAGAGATAAAAACCATTTCTTCCTGCATGCGGTGAGGTTGTCAACTTTTGCAATTTTCCATTTTCGATGGGGGAGGTCAAAATTGGGCTTTATGCAGCTTGATTATTTTGAGCTCTAAAAATCCTATTTTAACGTATTTCCAGAAACCAATGTGGTTTTATTTCCTCACTACCAAAGATAGTTTGATGGGCAAAGTTTGAGGCAAAACTTTGTTCCGATGCGAAATGCCCGGGACAGCTCTTACAGAAATCGCCACTTAAATAGGCTAATGCCGCGCGGAGATTGAAACTATTGAAAGCGCTGAAAGACGTTGCAATACTCACCAAGAAGCTCTTTCCCTAGGTAGAGGGGGAGGTCAATATACTCTAACCTACAAACGAAAATGATAGTCTTCTTCTTTGGACGTCTTAGAAGTACATTTCCAAGCTCAAGATAAAAATTCAAAGACAAGCCACCAAAAATGAGGAGGGGGATAGATACTATTAACGTTTAAGACTACTTTTTTAAAACTCCATTCGCAAGGACAGAAGAGATTTGCTCTTCCTTCCCCTGGCAATAATTTGAACAAAAATGTGTCCATTCAGTAACGCACAGAAATGGCTTGCGATATTAACAATGAACGACTAGGTCATCTTTCCCTCACAGCGTGTAAACTAAAAGTCTGAATATTTAATTGTAGAGAGAACGCCTGAGAATGGAGCTTGAGCTAGAGAAAATCATTAGCAAGTTCAACCTTTTGCCCGAAGATGAAAAGCAGCAAGATAGGAGAGATTTAAAAGAGCTTCAAGAGAAAATAGAGAGGATGAATTCCAACGCGAAAGAGACTGCTGAGAGTCTTCGTACAGCGGCTAAGAAACTAGACAACGTGTGGAGGGACTGCAAGACAGCACATGCTGTTGGAACCAGCTTTGGAATAGTGGGAGGCCTTCTTTCAATCGGTGGAGGAATTGCAACATTGATGACAGCAGGGACTGCTACTCCCTTGTTAGTAGCGGGATTGTCTCTTGGAGGCGCGGGAGCTACTACAAACATAGGGGCAGCCGCCGTCGAGTCTCATATAAACTCAGCTGAAATCAAAAAGGCAGAAAAACAATTGGCGAAGACTAGGGAAAGTATAAACGAGGTAAACAGGTTTGTCCAGGAGGTTTTGATTGCGAAAGAAAGAGCAAGGCTCATATATATTTATTACCTTGCCGAAACCCAGCAGTTGGGAGGTCCTGTGGTCTTAAAGATCCTTCGTGAGCTGGTGTTTTTCGTCGGAGGAACACCTACTAAAATGGTGATACAAGTAGCAGAAACTGCAATGGCCTGTGCACAGACAGTGACTCAGGCTAGTGCGAAAGCTGCAACCAAAGGTGGTGCTCAAGGAGCGGGAAAGGCAGCTGCGCAATCTGTTGACGATGTGCTACGAGCAACGGGTCAGGTTGGAGCACAAGCTGCTGATGACGTAGTCCAAGCAGGGGCTAAAGCGAGCACCAAGGCAGCCAGTAAGACAGTCGGCAAAGTCGTCATTGTGGTCAATGTTGCATTTGTGGTGTGGGATGTCATAGACCTTGGCTTCACAATCAGCGATCTCGTAAAAAACAAGGGATCTAAAGCTGCAAAATATCTGAGACAAAAGGCAGACGAACTTGAGAATGCCATGAAGCAGTAAAAATCAGCAAAAAGGAAGAATTCGAAACAATTTTTAGTTATAAACATAACATTGATCTACGTTGGCGTGAACACTTTTCATGCGTTAGTTGCATTTGGTCATTTTTTATGAGAAAGTTACATCTTAGGACTGCATTAACGGCATTTAGCAATTTTTTTTTTTTATGTGACCTCTTTTGATTTTCAGAGAGATAGCAAAAGGATGATTCAATTTGATGTATGCGGTGAAAAGAAGTGTAATAAAATACTTGGATATTTTAATATGAGTAACTTCTGAGTCCTTTTGGGTTAACGCCTGCATGTAGTGCAAAATTATTTAATGCTTTCCTTTCAGTGAGGAGAAAGACCATTTTCATATTCTATCTACGTTCCCAGTTTAGTGAGGGACAGCGGCTCAGCTTCAAAGAAATCTCCAAATACCCGAACGCAATGACCCTTATAAGGAACGTTTGGAACCGATTCTAAGATAATTGCAGTCCCTACTTTTTCAGTCTTATCTTTCTTATTGTAATGATGCGGAGTCCAAAGTCATTTTAAATTCTTTCACTTTGTGAAAACGGAGCTTTATGAAATAGTCAAAGTGGCAGGTATCTTGGCCACGATAGTCCTCACTATAATAGAGCCGACCACGTGGTCAGGACACGCCTGCTCGTATTCCATCCTTATCTTAATCATTTTTCTCTTTTTGGGGGCTCCACCTTCATGGAACATTTCCACCTTGTTTCCCCCTGTGATAGTCATTTGAAGCCCGCTGAGCTTGCACTTAGAAGAAGCCGGTGTTCTCCATGACTGCATATATTTAAAACAGATGAGTAGAACGCGATAAAGGTTTTACCCATTTTGAAGGGTTATTTCTCTTAAAAGATTGGAACACCTGTAAATATTTCAAATCTTTACGTAAAGCTAAAAAGGTTGGCATATCTCACCTAAGCGTAAAATCGTCTCCTGAATAACACAAAAATCTATAAGTTTTTCTATGAAACTAAAAAACTTTTCTTCTATCCTCGAAGTCTTAAGGATTCCTTTTGGATCTCCAGATAGCGATTTTGCACTAATTTTAATATTGTAAGGAAAGTGCTTCTTATGATTGTGAGTGTAAGATCTGCTTTCCCAGCTACCTCTCCCACAAACCTCCTCCCTCTCGGCCCTTCCTATCGAATCCTTAACCTCGCACACTCCCTATTCTTTTCACTTTCACTCTATTTACCTCCCGACCCCCGACCCCCACATGCCTTTTTTTTCTCTTAAGTTAACAAAGATGAATGAGCGCCAAAGTTGATCAGGAAGGGTGATATAACAATACCGGTTCCTGCAATTTGCAGAGAGTCATTGAGCAATTTGCAGAGAGTCATTGATAAATTAAATATTGGGGGTCACCAAGCTCGGTTTTGAGCATAAGGCACATTGAGCTAAAATTAAGGCGCTATTAAGGGACTTCAGTGTTGCTGTGGTAATCTTAGATGGTAAAATGTCAATCAAAAAGTGTGCAATAATTGAGAATTATTTTGCTTCCATTTTCAGAAAAAAAAGTTAAAATTGCGTCAATCTATTAAAGAATTGTTATTTAAAACGCCTAGAATGCTTAGTCACCTTAAGCTCCTAACATAATAATAGGTTTAAAAAGTGTGCGTAGCTTTGAATTTCTCCGACGAAGGGGAAAGATGAGACAATGTTGATCAACAAATTATCATCACAAGCAAGAATTAATAATCTTATTAGCTGCTTGTGAGTAAACTTTGCTTCCTACTATAGAAGCTATTGCAGTCATTGAATAGCAATAGAGATGTATGCCGAGGAATTGTGCTTGCTAAGGCAAATGACATGAAGTTAGAGTCATGTGTGGAGTTTAGGTCCTTTGTGGGGTGATTCTGGTTTTAAAAGGAACTTCGAAAGCAGCAGCAAAGGCTTCTGGAGGAGACGCTGGCAAGGCCGGTGCAAAAGCAGCCGGGATGGCTGGTGTAATAGCTGCCGGTAAGGTTGGCACGGAGGCAGCAGTTGAGACAGGTGCAGGATCTGCTGGCAAGGAAAGTGCAAAAGTAGCTGGGAAAGTTGGTGTAGAAGTCAAGTTTGATTATCAACCTTATTTACCGCGGTTCAAAAATAATTCTATGACTAATACTTTAACCCTGCTCTATGGGAGTAGGAGCGGTCTGTATTGAAGATTATTGACCTTGTACGTCCGTTTGTTTAACCCTTTACAACCTAACATCAGTATGCATATTCTCCATACTGTTCTCTGTACATTTCCTATGGTACTAACAACGAGAATTTGTTTAACAATCAAGAGCTTCTTTGGTTGGTGATCATTTCCTTTATTCTCATGACCTCAATGTTTGTTTTAGGGGTGATACTGATAGGGGAAAATAGTTACTAATCACTCCTAGGGGTGGAAGGGTTAACCATACTATTTATTTTTCCACATCTTCAATGACGGATTCAATCAGTTGAGGCAAAGAGGTGGAAATGAAATAATGGCGAAAGGAAAAGCCTTGATGCGCAACGCATAAAGATTGCAAGATACCAAAAACCGGGTTACTTTTCAAACATCGAACTGAGGACACACGAAAAACGAAAAACAAAAACAAAAAAACAAAGGTGAAGGTAGCCTAGTCCCTCGCCGGGCGCCACCTCCCCACTTCCCAACCCACATCCTAAGCCAATGATCCAACTAGTTGTGTCACCATACGCGGAATATTTTCGGTTTCGTATATTTATCACAGCTACAAAGAGCAAAAATAGAACACAGCCCAGTTCGTTTCACTTCAAGTCGAAGTCGTTTCGCTGAAAATCGAAAGTCGTTTCGCAACAAATCATGGGCCGCTAAGCAGGTCGCAATGGACTGACAGCGGGGTAACCTGGCCCAGGTTGTTCAAAGCTGGGTTAAAGTAATCCAGGGTTAGTGTGAAATTTGATTTTAGGTCTGAAAACTTTAAGAGAAAATTCAGTTCAATTATTTTTACTTGCAGTTTGATCATTGGATGTTCTAAAAAGAATAGTGAAAATTTTCCCTAAAAGACTTTTGAACAAAGAAATAGAGAAAGCTGGATTAAAATTCAACCCTGGGTTAGGGCCAATCGGCCTTTGAACAACTGGGCCCAGGTTGTTAACGTTGTGTAGAAGGCAAGGACCCTAAAAAAACGCCTAAGCAAACGGGAGAAAAAAAAGATCACGGATGGGGAAGGACTATGAGTAAGAGGGATAAGACAAACATGTCCTGACCACGTGGTAGGCAGAACGAAGCGGGTCACTTGATGATCCCTCTTGATGTAAAGGGGTAAGAATGGGGCCAAAGTCTCGTAAGTAAACTTTCCACGGCCAAGTTACAGTTACAATGTTGGATCTGGATCTTGGAAATTAGTTGGGAACTGCCCTTAGCCTGAATGCCATTTTGACCATTTATGGAATCCATTAAGCTGTCTCGCAGAATCGCCCAGGAATCTATGTCAGACAATGAAAAAGCTTTTTATAGGACTTTGCACTCGGCATCATTGCAATGAGAGACACAAAACTGAAAAAGAAGGCATATTTTCAGTTATTACCTTAGAATTGTTCTTAAAGTTCCTTACAAGGGTCTTTGCGTTCGGTTATTAGGGTGTTAATTCAATGATTCTCAGCTGCAGTTCCACATGATCCTGCATGAGAACGCACATGAGAGGAAAATATACTCTTGTTCTACATCAAAAGGTAATCATAAAACAGATGCCCTTTAAAAGTAAGCGTTTAACAAGTAAACAAGTATTTTATTACGTTCTTTTCCGCTGCCTACAACGAATTGAAACAGAACATCCTTAACCTTATTCTATGGAAATCAAAAGAGGTCACAGTCGTAAGATGCAATTTTCTCATAAACTAATGAAAAGGGCCGGTGAAAACAAAAGCTCTTCTTTGAAAATCTTAATATCAACGTAGCTTAATGTTTATTTATTGAATATCAGTTCGAAATCTCGCCTTTTCCCGAGTTTTACTACTTCATGGCACTCTCGAGTTTGTCTGCCTTTTGTCTCAGAACTTTTGCAGCTTCAGATCCCTTGTTTTCGACGAGATCCCTGATGGTGAAGCCAAGGTCTATGGCATCCCACACCACAAATGCAACATTGACCACAATGACGACTTTACCCACAGCTTCACCGACTGCCTCAGAACCCGCCCTTGCCCCTGCTTGGACTACGTCGTCAGCAGCTTGTACTCCAGCCTGACCCGTTGCTCGTACCACATCGTCAACAGATTGCGCAGCTGCCTTTCCCGCTCCTTGAGCACCTCCTTGGGTTGCAGCTTTCGCACTAGCCTGAGTCACTGTCTGTGCACAGGCCATTACAGTTTCTGCTACTTGTACCACCATTTTAGTAGGTGTTCCTGCAGAGAAAAACACCAGCTCACGAAGGATCTTCAAGACCGCACGACCTCCCAACTTCAGGGTTTTGGCAAGGTAATAAATACAAATAAGCCTTGCTGTTTCTTTCGCCATTAAAATCTTCTGGACAATCCTGTTTACTTCGTTTATACTGTTCATAGTCTCACCCAATTGTTCTTCGGCCTTTTTTATTTCAGCCGAATTTATAAGAGCCTCGACGGCGGCTGCCCCTATGTTTGTAGTAGCTCCAGCGCCTCCAAGAGACAATCCTGCTACCAACAAGGGAGTAGCAGTCCCAGCTGTCATAACTGTTGCAATTCCTCCTCCGATTGAAAGAAGGCCTCCCACTATTCCAAAGCTGGTTCCAACGGCATGTGCTGTCTTGCAGTCCCTCCACACGTTGTCTAGTTTCTTAGCCGCTGCACGAAGGCTCCTAATGGTCTCTCTTGCGTGGGAATTCATCCTCTCTGTTTTCTCTTGAAGCTCTTTTAAATCTCTTCTATCTTGTTGTTTTTCATCTTCGGGCAAAAGGTTGATCTTGTCAATGATTCCCTCTAGCTCACGGTCCATTCTTAGGCGCTCTCTCTACAATTTAACAGATGATCGTAACATTGAAACAGTTATTCAGATAAATACGATATAAGACAAATTTACTGTGAGGGAAAGATGATAGATGACCCAGCCGTCAATTTGTTACATCGAAGACCGTTCACGTGCGTTTCTGAATGGGTATAGTTTTAGGCAAATCTAGGACAAATCTCTTCTGTTCATGCAAATCGTGGAAACTCTACACACTCCTTACCTCCCTTCATTCTCGGTGGCCTCTTTTGAATTTGGACCTTGAGCTTGGATATGTATTACTAATAAGACGTCTAAAGCAGAATAATTTTTTTCCTCGGCTTTCAGAGTTTAAGAATCCTCCACCCCCCCCAAAAAAAAAAAAAAAAAAAAAAAAACAAACAAATAAAATCAAAAAGCTTCTTGTCTTTGTTTAGGGTGCAGTCGAAAACTGTTCTGTAATCATTCTAATTTACCTCTTCCATGTCAGAGAGATCGGGGGCTCCGTTTCTGTGCATTTTTGTCAGTGGCACTGATGCTCTTGACAGCACGTTTAGACCTACAAATAAAATTTAAAACAAATCTGACGACTGATTCTTATGAATTTGATAAATGGCCCTAATACTTTTGGATATCTGTCCTTGGACATTGTCTGTCCCTCGAAGTCTTCTCCCCGAAGACAGTTGGGTCAATGGAAAGAAATATCCGAATATATTTCCTCGCCGAACGGAGGTTAAAGTTTATTCATAATAGTACATGGTATTTACATTTAAAAACTGGTAATAGCATAAAGGTTCCACGCCATAGAATATTTTAAAACATAACCAGCAGAGGTCATAATGACAGTCACCATTGCTGTATAAAATTCTGGGAATATTTAATACAGTCACTAAATGCCCGGCAGCCGGGCACGGTCTCAAATAGACTAAATGCCCGGCATTCAAAACTTTTCACGCAATTTCCGCCGAAAGATTCTTTCAAACTTCTTAAGAATATCAAATTTTTGTTAAGTAATGTCAAGCGATTCCAAAATTTATTTGGTTTCAGTGGACAAATTCTCCGAGCTTGTGCGTACTATAATAACGCTCGGTTGTCGACAACTTGCTACGCTTCTGATCAGACTGCCGGACAGTCTCAGATGGACTAAATGCCCGGCAGTTAGAAATATTCACCAAAATGCCACTGAAAGGTTCCTTCAAACTTCTTAAGAGTATCAGATGTTTGCTAAGAAATGTCAAGCGATGCTAAAAGTTGCGTTAGTTTTTCAGTGATCGAGCTTGAACCACTTAAACATGTTATAAAGCTAGGGAGGTCAGGCTGGTTTCGTAGAATATATTGTCTTCGTGACAACTGTGGCGTGACAGAAAGGGTCAGTACATCAGAACGCCTTCAGGTTCGGTATGTGTTTGTTTCCATAGCAACTATTCAGAGATTATATAGAACTTTTTACCAGCGGAACATAGTTTTCCCTTCACCTACAACGCGTAGTCTAATGCAATTCATCAACAGCGAACAGTACCTGGGCATATTCGCGCAATATTTAGCGAAATGTCGCAAAACCGCTATAATGTAAACCATTTTTAGACAGAGCCTTGAAAAATGTTTCTCAGTTTACAAGTACTACACCACATTAATACACCTCGAGTAGGTTGCGTCACACAAGGTAACGCAAAGTCTAAATCTTCTTGGCGTGGGATCGTATTACCGCGCCAAACAGAGATAATATGTTTGTAATTATGCAAAGTTCAGAGTTACAAATTAGAAGGCCAAGAAAGACAAAGGCCCAGAAAGACAAAGGCCAGGAAAGTAAAGGTATCTTGCCTGCAGCTTGGGATCCATTGTCAAAGCTGAAACTTGATGGCAGATAAACTTAAAATACATAAGGTTACATGTTCTGGCGTTTAATCACAAGTGCTGTTCTCTCAGTGGCTACGCTGCTCATATTTTATTCTGTATTTCGCCCCCTTGGCAAATGATGAACAAGATTGCGAACAACTTTTTTGTTTTATTACTCCCAACATTAATCGGGAATTACTCAAAACAGATAGACCTCGACTATTTAGATAAATTTCGCAATAAAAATCCAACTTACCTTTTCCAGAAAGCCCTATCTTCTTCATCATACTTTCTGTAACAAGACGACAGATCTATCCTGTGCTAGACTCTTTCTGACTCACGTGTTGTATTGTTTCCCGCCAGTTTTTACGGAACCTGAAGGTGTTTTGACGTAGCGGACCCTTCCTGTCTCGCCACAGTTGTCACGAAGACAACATATTTTACGAAACCAGCCTAACCCCCCCAGGCTTTAAAACATGTTTATGTGGTTCAAGCTTAACCACTGAAAAACCAACGCAATTTTTAGCATCGCTTGACATTTCTGGGCAAACATCTGATACTCTTTAGAAGTTGGAAGGAACCTTTCAGTGGCATTTAGATGTTATTTCGTTATTGTTCAGAAACTGTTTCATGTTTTTTAATTAGAAAATCAGACTGACTTATTTTTGTGACTGGATGCAACAGTCTCTACTATTTTTTTATGACGTTTTTATGACGTTAATATTGTTAATATTACGACTAAGTATGCTTCTTTTTTTTTTACCGGTAATTTTGCACAATGTCATTTTGTCGTCTAGAAATAAAGTTGCACAGAGCGACATCGGATATTATGTTCTATATTGCAGATTTAGCGATTAAGATTTGATTAACGTTTACCGCCATAGCTGAGTTAAACTTCGCTCTGTCATGCCGTTTTGTAATTGTTACAGTGACGAGGATCAAAATGCTCGCTTGAGCAATGAAGTTAGAAATTGGAAAATTCTTTTTAAAAGCTGTAACACAAAATAACAAAAAGCAGTAGACGGTTTCCAAGAATACAGCTTGACAGAGACATGTGGTTCCGGTTATTTCTGAGAATTCTAGTATTTGTTTCATGCGTGACAATACCTGAAAGTGACCTATTTTTCCATTTTATTTAAAACTGCGTTCTACTTTTTTTTGCTTTTAAGAACGGAATTGCGCATCAGCGAGTTTATGGAGCGTTTTAATCTCAGGTCTTTTTGGTTTCCCCAATAATGCAACGAATGGGCATCAAAATCTAAGTCGGATCATGATGTAAAAATTTTTAATTCATAAGTTCGCTGTGGCGCTTTGTTATCGCGAAAATATGATTCATTTTCGACAAAAAATTTGAGTTACATTCGCTACATCTTCAATCCCGACAGGACTCGGCAACTCGTTTTTTTCTTTAGCCAAAAGGCACGAGAAGATGCTGATGGCCGCATAATCCCACTTTTACAGAAACATTACGCCGACAAAACACGGTATGGAAAAACCTTGTCTTTTGTCCATTAAACACTGATGGAAAATGTGACTGCAAAAAGCCGAAGTTGTGAAAAAACACAACACTTTTCATGACACTGACTAACAACTATGCACAAGCAATAATGAAACAAAAGAAAACATTCTTTGTTATCGCGAAAACATCTTGAATAATATGATTCATGCGACAAAAAATTTGAGTTACATTCGCTACATCTTCACTTTCGACAGGACTCGACAACTTGTTTTGTGAATTTAATCAAATAGTCATGCTTAATTTGTGCCATAAAAACGTCATGAGAAGTTTATAAATGTTAATATCATGTACACATTAGATTTTTCGCGCGGGATCAGTTTTCTTCGGTAAAACAAGTTTTACGATCCAGAAAGACGGTAGCCGTTTTTAGTGTTCCCAATTGTTAAACAATGGGTGAAATAAGGCCATTGGAAATTGAAACTGTTTTCACGAAAAAGTTCATCACATGAGCAGAAATTCTTCTTCTTATAAAATCTCCATTTGTTCCAGCTCGTCTAATGTTGTTTCCTTGGCCGTCCCAACTTTCTTAACGTTTATCAGTGTCAATTGTAACGCAGAGGATATACAAATCGCACAGTATTGCTAGATTTCAAATTACTTGAAGGCGGGAAAATCTAGTCTGTTTGATAAATTAACCTTGCGTGCTTAATTTATGGAGAAGTTGACAAGCCATTGATTTTCAGATTCCTATACGGCCTTTTTGTTGTTCTGTACAAATTGAGCTCAATCTTTATACTTGGTAACCGTTTTTCACCCATTTTACTTCTATTTTACAGAAGGTTTGAGGTCTTTCTTACAATAGCTATGTGCAATTATCCTTTTTTTGCAGAGAAAGTCTTATTTCGGTTTCTTGCCTTTGGTTTCATCAGTCATACGACTAGAATATCAAACAAGACAAGCTTCTTACGTAAAAAAGGTTAGTAGTAAATAAAAATAAATTTAGAAACAATCTTTCCCGTTTTACAAAACTGAAATGTTTTGCACTGGACATTCAAAGCCAGAGGATATAACCTCGAAATAATCTTAGATTCTGGCAAAGATTTGTTGCTTAAAACTTGACTTTAACTGATTAAAAAGCACGACAAGATGGTCGCATGATCCCACTCTTACAGAATCATGACTTACGCAAACAAAACACGATATGGAAAGTCCTCGTCTTTAGTCTATTAACCACTGTTTTTGTCAGCCCGTTACAGCGAGTAACGTAACAAATAGGTTAAATTTAAAATCTTACTGCAATAAGGGAAAAAGAAAACATTTGACAAACCTCTAAACGAATTGTGACCTTCCCACCTCAGTTTCGCTGGGTATTACTGTCAAGTATTTGAAGAAATTCACAGATCAGTCCGATCTGTATATGATCATGTGACCCTTTCACAAGGTAGCCAATCGTATCTCTTGTACTGTCTCTTGTATCAGATGGATACTATGGGCGGCCGTCACCACCGAAAATACAAGGATGTCAAATAGATCAGCAAATACAAAGCTGGTCTAGGGATCAGCAGCAGGATAGCATAGCTAATATAGGAACTGGCATGGCCAAACTGTAGACGGTTAAGTTTTCCTTCATGAATCAGAATACCCTAAACATGAATAGTTTAGGCAAATGATACACGGTCTAGTTGCCTATGTCGAGTTGGAACATGAAATTGTGAAATGGACTAGCTCAACTGCGAATTTACTCATTTGCAATACAGTACACAAACAGTGTAGCGTTGGGTCAAATGGCTCAGCGTAATGTCAAATGGTACAATGTACACACATACGGTGAAGCGTTGTGTGAAATGGTTTAGCACAATGTCGAACAGCACAGTTTGCACACGGCGGTTAGCTTGAATGTTTATAGTATTAAGTAGTATTATGACGAGCATTAAATGTCGATTGTCGAGCTCTCATCTCTTTCCTGACTCGCGCTTACTTTTCAATAAGAGTTTAACTTCAACGGCTCTTTGAACATAAAAATAAGCGCGAGTCAGAAAAGAGGAGAGAGCTCATTTAATTAAAGAAAAAATTCTTAAGTCTCCTTTGAGAATTCAATGAAGGATTCCTTTGAATTAATACAGAGGCGTTATCACAAAAGACCTCAGAATTAACTTACTTTAAAATATGTAATATGTCTAACTTCAAATCAAAAGGGGGATACAGGACTTTATTTAAAATATCATGCATCAGGAGAAGGAGTCTTCTTTAATATATATATAAGAAATTGGCAACCAATTTAGCTTTTCAAGATTTTGATCCTGGTGGATAACTCGTGTGGCTCTCGCTTGAACAGGGTTTAAAGAGTCCATAATATAGTAACTGCAGTTTCCCCACACCACAATACCATAAGTTACAGCTGATACAATGGATTTGAAATAAATTTCCTCCAGCACTTTGGCAGGAAGCTTCTTCATTCTTTTTAATGCACCCACTTTCTGTGAAAAAGATTTCATCACATGGTCTACATGCATTGCCCATGTAAGCCTATTGTCAATGACTCATCCCAAACATGTGGTGTGATTCACAACATCAGTAAAATCAACCAAGATTAGACATGTTTACAATTTCGATTGACCGTACTTTGTAATTAGGAAAGAGACTCAGGGAGCCAGAAAAATTTAGCATTTGGTTCAGCTCAACTCGGCTTTTTCGAAATGTCTTGTTTGACGCGACCATAAGATCATCGAGAGATGACGTTTCTCGCACGAAAACAATTTGCCATTGTTCAAATCAAATGTTCTTGTTACAGCAAAATTCGAAAAAACGACTAATTACTTGAAAACTGAATAACGCTGCAAAACGAATGATTACGGCCAAGTACTACGGTTAGTCAAATTGGACCGTTCAAATCTTGTTCAGGTTATAAAGTTAAGCCACTCCAGAAACCAAAAGAGCAACGCACAAGTAATGAATGAAAAAGCAATTATCATAATGTGGCAAACAAAATCGGTGCGTTTATATTGTCTGTTCTCTTGCCGAAATCACGCATGATAAAAAAGCGAGAATTTCGCAAGTCAACAAAAATATTTCAAAAAAAGTTGAGAATCTGTAAGAATATTTTATAATTATATAATAAGCATTCATGGGTGGTAGCATAAACGTTATCGACGGAGTGATATTGTAAGAAAAACAAACTGAGTAAATGTCACATCAACTGTACTGACACATGTGTTATGTTATGAATTTCGAAGCATCATTTGCACCCATATAGATCACAAAATCCATGTGCAGTTCACAGGATTACAGATGCGTCACACTGACACCAGAAGCTCGATATGCTTCGTTTATTACCGAGGTAATTTTGCAAAATTTTCATTTCGTCGTTTAGAAATAAAGTTGCACAGATATAAGTGGGGAGAAATACTCGACCACGTCTCGTGTTTCTCCCTACACTTCTTTCGTGCTCTAGCCACTTCCTGCGTGCTTAATAACAGAACAGAGCACAGTCAAGGCTTCTCTATTTGTTAATTAGCGGAGGATTTGATGTAACGTTTACCAGCTTAGCTGAGTTAAATGTCGCCCTGCTATTTCGTACTGTAATTTCTACAGTGATAAGGAAACAAAATGCTCGCTTGGGCGACGAAGTAAGAAATTAGAAAATTATTTTTAAGGCTGTAACACAAAATAACAAATGTAGTAGACGATTTCCAAGAACTGCAGCTTAACAGAGACATGTGGTTCCGGTATTTCTTGGAATTCTTGTTATTTGTTTAACTGGTGACAAGACGTGAAAGGTGACCTATTTGTCCATTTTATTTGAAACTGCGTTCTACTACTTGCTTTTAAGAACGAAAATGCGCATTTTTTAAACCGTAGGTCTTTTCATTTTCGCTGGTTTTTTCATTTTCCCATTAATGATAAATTTTTAATTCACAAGTTCGCTGTGGCGCTATGTTGCCGCGAAAACATCTTGAATAATGTGATTCAATTTCGCCAAAAAATTTGAATTACATTCGCTACATCTTCACTTTCGACAAGACTCGGCAACTTGTCTTTTTCTGTAGCCAAAAAGCACAAGATGGTCGTTTGATCCTTACAGAATCATGACTTACGCAGAAAAAACTCGATATGGAAAGTCCTTATCCTTAGTCCATTAACCACTGTTTTTGTCAGCCGGTTACAGCGAGTAACGTAACGAATAGATTAAACTTGAAATCTTACTGCAGTAAGTGAAAAAAACATTTGACAAACCTCTAGATGAATTGTGACCTTCCCACCTCAGTTTCGCTGGAAGAAATTCTCAGATTAGTTTGTCACTGAATCATAATATACATGTGACCCTTTCGCAAGGGAACCAATCGCATCTCTTGTACTATCTCTTGTTTCAGATGTACCGTATGATTCGTTACATTTACATACAGCTTATAGCGCCGCTGGCAATGTACCTAGTGCAGTTTCTCACGCCATGTGCGTTGCTTGACCGATATTTTCAGCTTTTTTTGCCGTTTTTACCGAGGTAGACCTAGCGAAGGATTTTAGGCTGTGTAAGTAGCAATAACTTCGAATCGCCGCCTGACGGATCCTCATTTGTCATTCGATGTTATTATCCTATACGAGAATACAAGGAATCTGGACGCATAGACGTTGTTGTGTCGTATTCATTTTGCCAAGCGTAGCTGGCCCCTACATGGATACTCACCTGAATTTATTAATCAGCTTGTCTCAAATGTTTTCTTTGTTCTTTCGTAGTGCAATACTACGGTTCTCCTGCAATTTTTCCTGGGATTTTAGAAAAACTTGCCTAAGAGTCCCATTAGTGACTGAGGCTTATGATCAGTCCACAACTTGAATTGATTTAGGCCAGACCACTTACTATCCTCGTAATGTCAGCATTGGCTTCGGGTCATTATTTCAATTTTTTTTCTTCCTTCTCTTGTATCAGATGGACACTCACCTGCATGTCATTATTTATTAATCAAACTTAAAAGTTTGAAATAACATGGACGTCTCCTTGTGGAGCGAGGGGTTAGACGGAAGGAAAAAAAATTGAAATAACGACCCGAAGCCAATGCTGACATGACACTTTTTCCTCCGTGGGGATCCCCTCGTGGCAGGCAAGCGATAACTTTTCCTGAAAAGGTAGGGTTGAATTCTGGTGCGAAAGCCGCAGTTCAAGGTTTTGCTAAATGAGAAGCAAAGGCAGGCACACAAGCAAGAGCTTACTGATGAAGTAGTTCAGCCTCAACACAGGAAATATCAAAAAGCGGAGCGCAAGCTGCTGATGACGTGGTGGAAGTAGGTTGTAAAAACAATTGGAAAAGAGTAACTGGAACTTGAATTATTGGAGCAGTTCAAACTCACTCAAGACTAAATAAAAACAGTTCCTTACAATTGGAAACCTACTGATTTTTATTTTTTTTTCCACTTCATGGATTACATTTATTTCGTATTTTGTTAAATTTTGTTAAAAAACAAAAAACTTTATCTGCTGTTAAATTTCGAGGGAAAATGATCAACAAGACTCTTCATTTTAGAATGATTTTTTTTAAGGTAATGTTGAATTGCTGACTCTAGAATCTCCATCGTCTCGAGTGCCTTGTGCTGCAAGCATCATTACCGCTGAAATATTTGATTCATGAATCAAAGTAACATAATTTTGGTTAGTAGTGGTGTACAAAGTAATAGGGAGTTTAAGATACGGTCACTACGGACTACGGACTACGTCTAGGCGTGAGAATCCAAGCCACGCGTGGACTGGGCCGACTACGCTAAAAGGGCGCGAAAATTGGAGTGTTGTTTGACGTTAAGATCGTGACAACGACTACGGACTACGGCTGCACTTGGAAAAAAAATGTCCTTCGAAGATGCTAGAAACGCCCTTTTAATCGCTTATGCGGATGGTTTTCTGGATGATGAAGAATTTATTGTTCTTTACGATTATTACCAACCCGTTAATCCTTCATTTCCGTACTGGAATTTTGATCCATTCTGTTTGGATGTGTTCGACTCTTGCGAGTGCGAAGCTCACTTCAGGGTGGCCAAGGATGATATTCCGATGTTATTGTTATTCCGGGCGTCAGTAATCAGAACCAGAAACAGAAAAAAAATGCGATTTTTACTTCTTTTTCGCTCAAGTTTAATTGCCTAAAGACTGTTCAACATAAAAGTAGCGTTTAGAAAACAAAACTGGTCAAAAATCGGCAAAAAAATACTTACGTAGTCCTCACTACGCGAATCTCCTCGACTACTCCCCGTAGCCTGCAACCACACGACGGACTGCGAAACCCACGTGCTATCGAGCATGCGCAGTAAATCTCGAACCAGGTCCTCGCCGTGTATTACCGTAGTCCGTAGTCCGTAGTGACCGAATCTTAAACTCCCTAATGACGATCTTTCGAAGTATTTGTGGAGTTTAAAATAATCCAAGAGGATAAATCCGAGACAAAGTCTCAAGACTTTCACCCAGCTTTTAAAGAAACGACAAAGGCATAAACCCTTGTTTATACAAGGTACCAAATCATAACAGAGTTCCATTCTGTGAACACAACATATCGTTTTCTACACCCACAAGCACACCCAATCGAACCATACTGATACCAACTAACAGAGCTGTTCATAACGATTATAACATAGAATGTAACGAAACAAGCTCTGTTAAACTGTAACGAAAAATAATGCAACTCACGAACTATCAGCATAACAAAGAAATTGTCGATAGCATGTTAAACTCACGTAAGGTATTGGAATTTCGAACAATCAAAGATCAAATCGAAACAGTTATCAAAATAACCTAGTCGATGATCGGAACGGTTGCAGATATCACCGGCGTATGCTCCATATATCAGAACAATTTTCTCTTAGAGGCTGGCATCTGGCGCATCGTTAACTTTCTTTCCAGCTCGGCGACTTGACTTTTCAAGGAGTTTATTTCTTTTTGTGCCTCGGCTTTGGCAAACTGAAGTTTCTAAAACAAAGAAAGGAACATTTGTTTAATATAGTTACTGACGGTGAATAGACTCAAGTTCAAGGTTTACAAGCGAGAGAACAGGGAGATGATTGCCTAGTTCCTGTATTCCCTTCGCAAAATTTCTCCTCAGTCAGCTTATTTTTATCGCTCTACAAAGCTCGAAACAGAGCCTAAGCAAACCACAATTTCTCTACTTGTTATTCGCCTTGGACATGCATATGTAGTCACGCTACCGCATATGTACGCGTATCAGCTATCTTCAAGAGGCTACTTATAAAGTACTATCTCGGATGCTCAAATGTTTCATTAACCTGAAAAAGACTTTATAAGTTTCTAATTACTCTAAGCGCCTGAAAAATAATAAAGAATGAAACACAAAATTTTGAGATCATGAAAATTATTTATTTATAAGAATACGTCAAATTATTCAAACGTGGTCCTTTTCACAAACCATCGAAAAGAAGATACGATCTCAAATATAGATAGGAAAGTTTGTTAATTTTTCTCTAAGTCGTAGAAAAAAAAGAACCATTTTATTTGTTTCATCATCAGCGTAGGCAGAAGGAATTAGTCTGGGTCCCCCTGAGAGTCGAATTATCTTCATCATTCATATGTTCTTAATATTCTGACCTTTTATCCAATTTTTGATAAATAAAAGCATTCTGTGGTTTCTACCTGTTACTAACCTTTCGGAAAATGTCGGTGTTGGCATTAAACGATTGGCCAGCCTGAGCTTTGGCATTATTTCTTTCACGTTGCAGTTTTAATATTTTTTCGTCAAACTGCCAAGGTAAATACAGAATACTGAATGGAACAAGCTTCTTGACACAGCTATAGGCCTAAAATATTTATAAAAATGACATTGTACATGAATAATATAGAGAAAGTAACCGGCTTTCATCGGTGGCATTGCAAAGGAAGTGCGCTCGCAAGATAGAAGTTACTCCTTCTTTGTCAAGAAAAAGCGAAAAAAGAATTATCCAGTGAAAACCTCCTTTCAGCACCCCCCTTTTTGCACATATGTTTGACCGTCCCACCTCTAAGCGAAGCTTGACTATTTCTGTTTGGTGCAAGTGACTCATATCAGCCAGCTGCTTCTCGAGTTGCTGTATTTGACTTTCCTTTCCTTGTAGGGACTTCTCCAGTGTTGTGATTGCCTTCCTATCTGATGTCAAGGAACGTATTCAAATTTGGTCAGGTCAAATTTAGCACTGAGTAAGAGAGCTTTTCAAGCAAACAGTCATGAGTAGAAAGGGTGAAGACCAGTGGCTTTGCTTGCTTCTCATGTTCTTCTTGATAAAACCATTTCTTCAATACTACAGCAACCAAAACTCGCTCTTATCTCGTATTTTCCCGTACTTAACGTAACGAAAGTGATAAGAAACAAATTGAGCATCAACTTCAACACAAAACCAGAACTGAGTTCATAAACCTAAACATAAATAAAATCAAACCATGCAACTCTGTAAATCTTTTTATACTGTTCATTCCAAAAATGCAATTCCTCAAATTGTTGTCTCCTTTATTCCGTAAAATCTAAATGAAAAACAAACTGAAACGCTTCTTGTCAAGCTGTTGCGTCAAAATATTTATCGAGCCTAAAAGGTGCCTAGCCTGTCAGATCACGAGACTAAAAATATGAGCTCCTTGGCTTACTTTGTTGAACTTCCTCTTGTCTAACCCTCTGAATCTCTTGCTTATGATTCTTAAGTGCTTCAGAAAGTTCAGTTTTGTGTTCCTGAGGAGTCGTAAAAGATCATTTGACCATTTTGTTCTAAGACCTTCTGATCAACGGACGGTCCGACAGAATTGGACCGCATGCTGCTGATTGATTAATGGGTCGTATTTTTACTTGAAATCATGCTTTAAAGTTAAGACTCTCTTGAACTCTTTGGAAAAGTGGTGATGAAAGGTCACTGATGCTAACCTGTTCAAGACGGGCTGTTTTTTCTGTAACTGCAGTCAAGTGTGACTTTAGTTCCGCGTTCTCCTCTGAAGAAATATATACTCAAATTAGCAGCAATGAGTTCTGTTAACTACCTACCAGTTACCAGAAAACTAGTGGAATAGTGACAACCAAGGCTTCGAGGTTTAAATTTACCGCTATTTTAATTTCTGTTCTGGGGTATTAGTTAAAGCCTTGTGTTAGCAAAAGCTTTAAGCTACTCAAACACTTCAAGAGCAAAAATGCACACACAAAGCGGAAACAACACAAAAAAAGATTTTAAAAAAACTCTACAAAGAACCCAAAACTAATCGGTAAAAAGCCAACGCTAAAAGGGATCATCTTTTGAAACCTTGAGGATGCTAATTGTTACCTTCTTTGTCACATCTTTGTAAAAGGATCCTCTGAAGATTGTCTACCATAGCCTTGAACTTTCCAGCTTCTGTGATATAAAACAACGAGAAGAGTAAGAGCCGGTTCTCGTGAGTATCTGGTATACAATTTTCTGTTCAGATTATGAAGGGCTGATAGACAAGTGTTGAAATATAAGATGTGGGTCAACCCGCTGAGTAAGAACCAAGTCTGTCAGAGGAACCACGATCAAAGTATTTGTAGTCAGCTGAATAAAAGCCCTAAAACAATAACTTGCCTAGGAAAACGAATATGAAAACGCAAAGACAAACCGATTGGTCACAAGGAAGTTTAAGGATGGAAACAATTTCGTTACATATCTTTCCATGCACGAAACGTGACGTGACTTTATTCTTAAAACATTTTCCATAACAGGCTCTGAAAAAGCCATGTCAGACTAATCTTTCGCGTGCCCAAAGTAAGCTGGTCTTCGGTCCTCCAGACTAACACCTAGCAAATTCTCAATCCGCAGTCGCCCACTCTTTTTACAGTTTGTTAGAAATAAGCAAGGAGATCAATCACACAAGAAGGCTTCCCTAAACACCAACCTTCTATGGACAACTTTTCAGCCTCCTGGCTGGACTGAAGCTGCTTATTAAGGGATCGTACTTCCTTCTCAAGGCAGCTGTTTTCCTGTGCTGTGTGTCTCATTACCTACAAAAAGAAAAAATAAGTGGCGAATTTCTTGCCAAACTGAGACGCAGCTATGGTCCTTAGGTGCAAGTGCATTCACTTGCTGCTCCACCCCCCTCCCCACCACGCTTCTCTCGAGCTCTATTTGTCTTTCACAACAAAATGAGTATCATCCCATTGCATGGTGATGAATTTAAGATGAAACTTGTTTCTTCTAACAATGCTGTATATCTTCAAAAGGAATTATCATGTTATATATCACTTACCTTTTCAAAATACGTATATTCTTTAATTAAGTTGTCTAAATCAACGGCTGTTCTAATAGAGTTCCCGCTGGTGGCCATACTTCTTCTCCCGTCTCCGATTGCAGCTTTAATCAGTTACACCATAGAAGACATCTTCGGTTGAAAAATAAAGGGGAGAAGGAGAAGTATTACAAGGCTTCTAAGACGATGAAGAATATATTTACAAAGCTTTGAACAACAAAGCAAACATATTCTCTCACAAAGCGTATGAAAAAACCTGCAAGACTTAAATACGGTTTTCGACAGCCGAAATTTGGATTCTAACCTGAACAATGTTAGCGAAAACGGAGATGAAAACAACAATGAAAGAAGCTTCGGTAATATATCGATAAGTCTTGAATTCATGAATTGATATACACACTCTTTTTCCGCTAATACACAAGCCTCAATTTAAATGTGTGCAATGCTGCAAAGAGGTCGGAAAAAGATGCGACTCTCAAGCGACTGATAGCTCAGTCCTTGAGAATTTTGGCGGGAAATTTCGACGCGGGTGGCACCGCCAATAAGTTCTTCTCGGGATAGGGGTAAGTTATCTATTGTTTCAGTTGATCATGCACGTTTTCAACAGTAAGATGCAAAACAAAAAAAAATTCCCAGTCCTTCGTAGTTTTTGATATTCAGCGCAGCAATGAATAGCACGAATTAAGTTCTAGAAATTGAAATTTTTTTGGTTTGAATCTTTTTCAGTCCTCGAAATGCTTTACCATTCTCGCTCCTTCCTAGCCCCCCAGGTCCCTTCTCAGAATCCGCTATTACACCAGTCATTCTTTGTAACAACGATGGCATCAACACTTCAGCAAATGAATAGCCCGCTAGACACAAATTAACTATTACAGTTTTATTCAAACCCGTCTCTTTCTTCAAATAATATTTCCGGGTAATTCACCTCGCGAAACAAATTAACTCGCCTCGGCCCAAGGTATCGAGACGATTCAAAACTTACATATCTTAAATAACATTAAAACGCTTTATAATATTTCTCTACCTCCTTTAACTCAGTAAACTTGGACCAGCCCTTACTAAGTAGGACAAATTACGAAATAATTCACGACAACGCCACTTGCAAATTTGATTACCAATACTCAGTAATCACCGAAACGTGTTTACAAAATGAAATGACCCAGTTTTTTGTCTCAATAATAAGAAGCCATATATGAGCGAATTTCAACTGAGTGTTGATAAATTAAAACCAAAGTAAACAAAATGCCAATTACGACACCGAAAAAAATATACCACAAGGAGACACTGAGAACCCAAAGTAAACCCGTGCAAACTTGTTTAAGCCCAAGAAAGCGCGAGCTTCATTGGCTGAGAAAGTACCAATGGTTTTCTGCATCAATTAAGGGGCAACGAAAATTAAATGACACTCAATTGCAACTTGCTCCGACAGCTAGTTTTTGACTCGTAAACTTTGTCAACCAGTTAATAGGATTCCCCTGTTACCTCGGTTACAAAGTAAATATTATCCCACATCAACAGTCCACTTACTGCAAGGACATCTCAACTAGTTAATGAAACTTTTTTTTTTTTAATTTTGGTCAGTAAGTTGGAATCTCTCATACATTAAATCTAGCATGGTTATGAATTGATAACAACTATATGTATATACAATAAGAGCAAAAAGCACTAAATGTTCACAACGAAAATAAAAGTCATGTTTCCTTACTTTTTTCCTTCATTTTTTTCTCAAAACTCCTGTTAACAATTTTTTTTCTTTTTTAAAAAAGAAACTGAAAATAATGATATTTTCACTGCTGGAAATAAATGTAACAAATAACGACGATGACATGATGTGGAATTCAGAAATATCAATGTACTTTGAAGATTTACTTCGACCATCTCACTACTCTACCAAAGCTTCTGTAAGGTTAGTGTCCCAAGGCCAATGAATTTTACTTTCATTGCCTTATGTCCAATCATTTTGAACAAGCGAAAAAACATTTATACCAAAGGAGCACTATGCACCTTCCCAAAGAGAGTTCAAACCAAAGTCTTCACCATCAGAATGGATAAACAATAATGTTTGATCCATGTAGAAGTTTTCAAGCAAGTAAGTAGCATTCTGTTATTTGTCTTGGTAGTAGCCAGTACACCGCCAATAATGTCCCTCTTTTTCTTTTTTTATCTATTTTTTAAAAAAATACCCAATACTGAACATTTATCAATACGTTTCATATGTCTCAACAAGGTAAAGGTCCTTATAAATATTCCAACCGAGAACTAATATTTCTTAACGTCTTTTTCGAAATTAATCTTGTGTCAATGAAAACCTGTATGCATTTAGAGCAATTTTCATTTGCACGGTACCTTCTTTTCACGTCAAGACTAAGCACGAAAGTGTCAGATCTGATCACGAAGTTGGTCAGATCTGCCACTTTTGATTGATTGACATTCCACTTTTCGCACGGGAAAAAAAGCCAGTCAGAACTGTACTGGACTCGGCTGGCCCATGCGACAAACACAAAGTCCTACAAACTTAACGCACTTGGAAGTCGAACCGGAGACGAGAAATGAAGCCTCCGAATTCAAGAAAGTCTGCTTCTTCGATCGAAGTTCCGAAACTTTGCGATCACCTCATCACTTTACCCACAATGCTCCACCTTTCAGCAATTTGTAACTTCGTTAGCAAGCCAAAGCGATGATGAGACTTGCGCACATTTCCATGAATTCCATCGTGTGATGTGAGCCAGTGGGGCTCGTGAAACTATCAGAGTCTTTCAGACTGTTGAACGACGAGTTTGCAGACGATTTTCTGGATGACTTTCCCGACAGCGTTCCTTCCGTGTGTTCTGGAGGGATTTCCGGGGTGGGAAGGCTTTTGAAGTCCAGGAGGTAACTTTTATGATCGACCTGATACAACTGAACGGCGATCTTGGTCTAGATTAAGAGAAAATGGATATCAAACTCTTTAGTGGTTTATATCCTGTATGCTAAATTGATTTGGTAATTTTTTTCCAAAGGAAAAACAAAAATGTTAATACCAAAGAAATCAAACAAGTCACAGCAAACTAACTCTAAGAAGTTCAAGTGAAATTGTAGTTACTTACAAATTTTCCAGTTATCCTGTTTCTTCTAAGTACTCTCAAATTAAAGGGGTTTATGATTTTCCATTCCTAAGAGGACAGCAACAGAGATAAGGCGTTATCCATAAAATGGAAAAAAAACAAACAAAATTCAGTTTATCTTCTCGATACAGACAATTCAATAAGCCTCTGTGCACTTTTCCTAAGGCAGGGAAGCATCGCAATTCATACCACACAAGCCTTCGCAGTGCAAAGAGGCGCCTAAATTTTTTATTCAAAATAAAAAGCATTTATCACTCCGAAAAGCAATGAATCGTAAGTACTGCTCAGTAAGGAGTCTTATTCCTTCAAGGCCGAATTTTAAGCAAAGGCAATGTGTCATAGAATTCCTCTCGACAGATGTCAGTTTCCCTTCATCTTATAGTTAAATTAATTCTACTTGCAATATCGAGGAAGTTCAACATATTTTTGTGAACTGATTGGCAACACATGCGGAGTGAATATAATACTTACATAACCTAAAGACATCATTGCGCGGTAAACTTCACCCATAATATCATTTGGCTTGCTCTGTGATCGAATGCCTGCACGTGGAAGAAAAAAACAGTTATTTAAATGCCTAATTCTTCTCCTTCAAAGCATTTTTAAACATAATTAGAGAGTTGCGTGGTGTTCCTAAACCTTTCCATACATTCAGTGGACTGCAAAATCGTTTTTCTAACTCTCAACTAAATCACAGTTGGAAAATCGCAATTACATGATTGTATAGTGGGCGTTTCCTCGAGACAAGCTACAAAAGCAGGACATTATAAGAGGATAATCTAAAAGGATAATGTGCTCAGAGACGCAGAACAAGTCTTGCCTACGAGTGTCGTGATAAACTGCATAGTTCAAATGTTCAAAGCATCCTTATAGCCGTCACAAAGATAAATTTTTAGGTCCGTCCCTCTCGCAGTAGAAAACAATGATTGCAATTAAATTGAAATGTTTCGATTACTGAGGGACCAAAGCAAAGATGACAAAAATTGAGATTGTTTCTTGTATTTGATTGATCAGTTTTAAGTACAGTCCTGTAAATGACCCTGTAAATATATCTCTGGTAGCATTTAAAGTTGCAATTTAGAAAGAGAGAAGGTTTATTAGGTTCCTGTGTCAACAAGGAACCACTGGTGTACCAGGGTGCTCATCCTTTAAGTACATTGTATAAACCTACCCAAATGCCATTTAGGTCGCTTTCCAAGCGCTAGCCTCAGGTATGGGATTTTTTTGGAAGGTGTTGTTGGGTTAGAATCTGAAAAGAAAGTAGGAAAGTAGTAAGCTCAAGAATTTTCTATCATATACATGTACAGGTAAATGGCAGAGGAGAACAGTTACAGAAATACAGTCACTCTGGCACTGATTCAAGATAACAGAATTCTGCAATCAGCTTAAAGACCTGCAATCAATGCAGACCACTGTTCACGAAATTTGAGATCAAATAAATTTCTTGACTCCTTGTCTATTTTCAGAAGCAGTTAGTGACGAATAGACAAGTAAGGTTCTCCACAGTAAGAAAAACAGTTGATAGAAAACAATACAAAATATCACAGAAAACAACAGCAAAAGCTTGTAAGCCATTAGAGTTCTTTCTAATTGAATGCCATGTAAGAGCCACAAGAAAAATCTAGACTTACTGGATCTTGCTTTAGTCATGGCTGTATTTGGAAAACTTTCATTTGAAGACACAGCCTTTTGCTGAAAAAGGGAACATGTAAGAGCTGAGCCTTCTAGTGCTTTAGTTACAAGGATTGGAAAAATTTTATAATTCATGACTGCCCCTCCTACAGCCCGTGTAATGCTCAGAGAACAATTTTATGCCTCAGAAGTTTGCCCTCTATTAATTTCTTAACTTGCAAGGGGACTGAACATATCATAACTCAATTTGTGAATTCTAAAATCTAAGCAGAGACTGCTATGAATTTTACCAAAAGGATTGTTCCAGACTGTAGATTTGACAAGAAATAAAACACAAACAAGGAAAGATTTCCAAGACATTCCATTCTCTCCTGTTGGGGCTGACTAGTGGCTGAATGAACAAAATGATATTTATTGGGTCACATGGCTTGATAGCATGTGGTTTTTGTGTTAAAAGTGATTTCGTTTCGGAGACTGTGATTGCTGTGTTTGTTTGTCACAGTTTTTTCTACTATGTATGAGTTTTACAATTTCTTTTTACCCCAATGTACTGATAATTTAACTTTTCTTCATTCATTTTTACCATGGGCGTAGATCAATTCAAGACGACACAAAATAGTGGAAATGTCTGTAATTTGAAAGTTGTACACAATCATGAGCTGACCTGGATTAACCTGTCGTGGTCTACAACTATGTATGCGTCAACAAAGCTCTCTGCAAATTGTCCCCTGGGATAAGAACCCCTCCCTCTTTGAAGATCTGGGCAACAAACATCACAACGTGAATGAAAGTGATCCTCACAGTGATGTGCACTACTTAGGCAGTAGTGAAAATAAGGCCTGAAAAAAATTCAGGCCTGTACGGGATTTGAACCCATGACCTCTGCGATACCGGTGCAGCGCTCTACCGGTATCACAGAGGTCATGGGTTCAAATCCCGTACAGGCCTGAATTTTTTTTTTTTTTTTCAGGCCTTATTTTCACTACTGCCTAAGTAGTGCACATCACTGCGAGGATCACTTTCATTCACGTCTTTATCCGCAGTTCAAATATATGACTTTCATATATTCTTAACCGTCTAAACATCACAACATTGCTACAAAACTTACCACAGGTGATGCTGGTTCTTTAATAAGAAAGGAGGAGATAGGAGGTGAAACAGAAGAGTAGAAGTCCTTCACATTGCTCTCTCCCTGAGCTGCTGCAAAGACAATCAAAAGTCAATCAATGACTTTGTTATTTCATAACAAGTCGTAGCCTTCTTTCCACTATCTCCAAAAAAGATTAGACAAGTACCATGCAAAAATAAGGCATACAATGAGTTAAGAATAACATGTACTTCAGATGATTACCTAGACATAAAATTGCACTGTTTTGAGGATAAAATATGATAACAGAGTTATAAAGGGAGTCCTCGCAAGATTTTTCAAAACATAGAGTCTGTGATTCCCTCCAGAATTCCAAGTCGGTGCCTCAATCTGACCTTAATTGTCCCAGGCAAAAGTTACATGCACCAACCTACCAGAAAGCTGAGATCCTTGTAAAATGGCAATTATATGTATCAAAATTCCAAGATTGCTATCTAATTGTGATAATGACCTCTCAAAAAGCACCACCATCACAGGGTTGCAACCTAATTTTCCTTTTAATGACAAACTGCCATGGCACAAGCTTGATATTTTTCCTAAAACAACTGTTTCATGTTCATCAAATAGTTCCTCAAAATACAGCCATCCTGAAGAGTGACATACAAAACCTAAGCTTACCAGTAGGTTTATGAATAAACCTTCCTTCAAATGTCACCAAACCATCAAAATTTCTGTTGTGTTCACTTACCCAACATTTTCATTCTCTTGTTGTCAAGTATCAGATGATAAGCAATCTTCAGTTGGTCATGAGGATCTCCATTTTTTATTGCCCATCGTACATCACTTTCACTGCAGTTTAGTTTCTGCAAAAACAATTCAAGACAATATTTCTCTAAATTTTGTCACTGAACCAAAGTACTCAACATTTCACTTCTGTAGTGTTCAATTTAACGCGAAGTTCAAAAGTCTCTGACATGAAGTGATTTAAATAGAGCATCAATTTGTACATTGGGATCCAGTTATTCAAAGAGCAGATAATCCTATCCATCAAGTTAAGTTTTCAAAAAAACATACTATGCTATGTGCAAGAAAGAGATCCATTGAGTGAATACAATGCACACATCACTGTAATCAAATAAATAAGAGAATATTATAGTTCTATTTCTATTCATGTAGGTTAGCTTGTCACTGTGTTGTGTTTTTAAGCTAGGTTTGAGCACAAGGTGACCTACACCTCTAATCAAATGGCATTGCTATGCCGGTTGTAAATTACTGAAAGAATCCTTTTAATTTTTTCTGAAAGGAAATATTCCATGAAAAGTTACTGACCTCACACACTAATGCTAAGCACTCCTGGTCTACCATATCACTTTCTAAGCAAGATGATGGGAAGAGATAAACTGGTAGATCCTTCTTGAACCAGTCATGATTCCTAAAAATGAACAAAACACATGGGTAGGAATCACAAAACTGAAATTTTCATAGCAAATAATGTTTCATGTGGGCACTGTCATCCAATGTTTTTAGTTCAAAATTTAGGTTGGAATTTCAGCTTGGAATTTAGAATGCTGTTTTGCGGAAGGAGGAAGATGGGAAAGAAGATGGGAGAAAACCCCTCAGAGCAAGGTCAAGAACCACCAACAAACTCAACCCACAAGTGACACCAAGTCTGGGAATTGAACCTGGGCCACAGTGGTGGGAGGCAAACACTCTCGTCGCTGCGTTATGCCTACTCCCTTAACCCTTTAACTCCCAGAAGTGATTAACAAGTAACTTCTCCCTATAATATCCATACACTATACAGCAAACATGTAGTGAGAATACTCAAACTCATCAGGTACGAGATATCACCTTGATTGAACACCAAATTCTTGTAATCAATTTACAAGGAAATATGTAGCAGCTAGAGGGGAGAATTAACAATCAGATCTTGGAAGTTTAAAGGTTAACAGTACACTTACTTTATTTGCTGCATTGTTGCTCTTTTCATGGGATCAACACGTAACATTGATGATACCAGACTGCTTGTCTCTGATGACAGATGTGATGGTATATAAAATACACCTCCTACAAAGGGAAAATACATGTAGGAAATGGTTAGAGCACTTAATACAGTTTTAAGTCAATGTCTGCTTACAGGCCAACTTTTAAAGCAAAGAGTTTGGATTTGGGTTCTGACTGGGTCATTGCTTTATTTTCTTGGAGAAGAAAATTTACCCTGGGAGTGTCTCACTTCACACCATAGTAAAAATACAGGAGGAACAAATGTACATTTAAATGAAGACTGTTGCCAACTGGAAACTACAACTAACATTTATTTTAACCCTTCAACTCCCATGAATGACCAAGACAGAATTTCTCATCACAATATTTATACAATATCAACTAGATAAGTGATGAGAATAAAGAAAAATATCAATTTGGGGATAGTTAGCTGATCCAATACTAAATTCTCTGAACTAACATTATAAGAATTGTGTGGTTGACAGTGGGGAGAATTACAAATTTGATCAGGGAGTTAAAGAGTCAAAGTTAACAAACCTTTTATTTTCTTGAATAGGGTTGGTATGTGTTCATCATCAAAGGGAAGCTGAAAAACATATCAGGTTTACAGACATTGACATTACACAAAAAACATTTTAACTTCTATAAAAATAATTATCATGGTCATGTACAGTAATGTCTAAAATATACATACTAGTGATTGAAATGGATTCAGGTTAACAAGATTGTTCATTGATTTTGTCATGTGCTGTACTTTCCTTTCATCAAGGACTACAGTGGTGTATCCAAATAATGAGGAACAACCTAAACTGAAGCCATTTAAAATCATCTAGACCTGAATTTCTTTTTAAACAAAAACCTTGGAATAAATGATTAATACTTACACTTCCACATAAAAGGGCATAAAGAATCACCCCACAGCTCCATATATCTACCTCTGGACCTGCATAAAGTCTAAAAATTTAAATGAACAAATTTCAGTCACTAACTTTGCATAAATCCACTTCAGAGTACTTTTCCACAAATCCAGATTTTAAAATGAGGGTATTCTTTTAGGCCTGAGTAAATTACCAACCCTTTTAACCAAGAACAAATGCTACATAATTTCCCCCAATAATTTCACACTGCAAAAAGAATATGATTTGATCTACTTTGATTTAATTTTTTCACAAAAAAGTCTTGCAGCATGCAAACTTACTTTCCAGATATAACTTCAGGGGCTGCATAATTTGGTGATCCACAACTTGTTCGCAGGAATTCACCATCCGTCATCATGTTGGATAATCCAAAGTCTGCTATTTTTACATTTGCTTGGGCATCCAGAAGGAGATTCTCAGGTTTAAGGTCCCTTGATTATATCACAAAAACACTATTATTGATGTACAGTATTCTTTGGGAAAAAAGACAATTCCTTCATTCTTGATTCTCAAAACCTTTTCAAAAAAGTTTCACTGATTAAGATGGTTGAGGCTGTGTGAGAATTTGTAGAGGGTACTCAGGAAATTTGTTAAAAGCAGAGGAATTTTCCACTTTTTGCAAACTGTATTCCAGTAGTATTTTACAATCACCAAATCAATGAACTTTTGAAGCTCAGTTTCTGGCATGATTTTTAAAAATAACAGCACCTGGTTTATAAGCAAGTACATGTAATTAAGATAAATAATAATAAATAAGAAGAGGTATGGCAATATTCTCAAACCTACATGCACACTACCTATATATATAAAAAAAATAACTCTACCTATGGACTACCATGTGTCTATGGCAGTAATCCACTCCTGAGATAATTTGTTGGAAAAATCTGCGAGCCTCCTTTTCTTGAAGCTACAATTAACAAACAAACAAAAATCAAAGATGAGTCAAGTGCATTATACAAAAATCTGGAACTAAGATGATATGAAAATAATGGAAGTCTGGGTTTTACCCACTGTCAAGGCTATTGCGCACTGTAACATGCCAGAACAATCAATCCTTCACACCCTGACATCAGTGCGCATATTTTCCAAATTGCTCTTTACACATTTCTTAGGGTGCTGACAAGGAGAATTTAATTAGTAATTAGAGCTTCATTAGTTAGTGATCTTTCCCTCTATTTTCATGCCTTTTATTTCTGATTCAGGGGTGAAATTATAAGGAGAAAGAAGATGCTAGTAACTCTTTAGGGTCAAAGAGGTAATTAAAACAAGTACAGCCAGTCTCAAGGAAAGAAAGGGGAAGAGGTACTTTGGGTAATTTCGAAATGGGGTTGCTAGTAAGGTTTCCAGATCCTGACCCAGATCCTGTAAACAGAAATACACTGTAACATTTTTAGCTGTGCAGTTCAGTTTGTGACAGATGTATAAACAAATCTATAAACAGTAAACTACCTTTCCATGTTTAAGGATGTAGTCAAACAGTTCTCCTCCAGACACATATTCCATTACCATAAATATATCAGATGGAGTACTGATAACTTGATATCTAGAGAAAAAATTATATTGTTAAGTTACAAAAAACCCTTAGTGGCTATGTTATAATTATAAAAAATGCTTCAAACAATTTTCTGGTTTTGGTTTTGGAAACTAGTCACTGCCAGTTTTTTCCTTTTTTGTCTTTAAATCATTATTATCATTAACAGAAATCAAACTAGTTTGAAAATTTTTAAACAAGAACATTTCTCTCATGAACACTTCAGCCATGAGTCCTTATTCAGCGGCCAACAATCAACAGAGATAGGATGAACAAAAGGAAACTAGAGAATGGAATGCATGGGGAAAAGCTTGAAACTTACTGCTAAAAAACTTCTCAGACTGCTGGAAAAAGTGCTATTAATAAATCTATTTAGGGAGTCAAAGATCCAGCTATAGCACACTTTTGCCATTCCACATAAGAATGTCTGCTAACCAGACAAATTATGGTCAAGTCACTGATGGTTCAACTTGTCAACACCAACTTGCCGATATATAAAATTTAGTACAGACATTAGTACAGACATCGGCGAGTTGGTCTTCAATCCAATACAATATATTAGAAGTTAAACATATAGAAAAGTAAAAGATCTTTAGTAAAAAAACAATTTTTTATCTTTCAGCAAAGTTTATAAGGATCTCACGGTGGACAAAGCAAGGTAAACATTGCCAATGACTATAAAAGCTTCAGACAATAACAAGTTATTGTGTGACAACAACACTGTTAAGACTCATCATGTCAATCAATCAGATTTTTTAAAGAAAACTTGGCTTTCTAGACAAGATCTTGAGTAAAAACCAGTTCGTTTTATTTCCAACAAAGCTTATAAGGATCTCATGGCGAAAAAAGCAAGGTGAACATCGCGAATGACCAAAATGAGCCAACTTTTCTTCAAAAATCTGACCAATTGACATGATGAGTCTTTACAGTGTTGTTGTCACACAATAACTTGTTCACGTCTGAGGCTTTTATAGTCATTGGCAATGTTTACCTAGCTTTATTTGCCATGTCTCTACTCGATTTTATGTCAGTGAGTTGGCATTGGCGAGTTGAACTGTCAGCGACTTGAGTGGATACTGACCAGACAAGTAGACCAGACCATAAGCCAAGGGAAAAACACCTCTTTTGAATTCTCCTTTAAAGAAATCTTGTTGTGTATTTTGTTTTGTTTTTCAAAATTGTTTTCTTTGTCCTTCTATCTCTATTTATCAATACTAAAATTGACTTACAGTTTAATGATATGAGGATGTCTAAAGAGTTTTAAGTTTTGAATTTCCCTCCTTATTTTGCCAACTACATCAAGATTCTTGATCTTCTGTCTGTTTAGGATTTTCACAGCTACTTTGTGGCCTGTCAGCTGATGAACTGCCACTGAAATTTAAGTACATATAATTAATATCTATTAACATAATTAAATTCTGCTGCAGAATGGGGATTGGAAATCCGATGATGGCCAATCTCATTACAATGTAATCTGTAGTCCAATGAGCATCAGAGTTCAAAAGTCCTTTTACACTTGTATGGTTTGTAAACTCATTTCATTTCTCAAAGAAATTACCAGCTTATCTTTTGTAAATTATGCATACCTATGCAAGAGAATAAGAGGAAGTTTAAAGAAACAGTTTTCTAGAGTTTAGATAATCAAAACATAAAAGCCATTCCTCACAGAAACTCAAGATTTTTCTAAAGCATCTATATTTATTCCCCTACAAAGATCAAAATTTACCATCTCCAATTCTAATCGTAAATATAATTTATTGTTTCATTCATGTACATCTCTTTGAATTGATCAGAACCAACAAATGGGGATTGAAGAGATTATAAGCGATATCAAAATTAAGTGTGAATTAGCAGAGTCATTAATTCGTCTACAAAAACAACTTCCGAATTTAGTCGTAGCCAGATGAGTGGATTGCCCGGGCAAAGTCCATAAACTTTGGATCTTCTCGGTACAAAAATTGCCCTAAAATATTTCAATGTTATTTGGAAGCATAACAAATCTTAATCTAATAAATATGTGAAATTTTAGACAGGTATGTTTACAAGAATTGGGGAAGAATTCTCATGATTAAATTCAGGGATTTGGAAATCAGTCCAATACAAATTACTGATACACAAATCGTAAACAATATCAACAAGAGGAAAATGTTCAAAAGATGTGCGGTAGCCTTCAATTTCATTTTTTACTTTTTACTTTCATGCTTCTTCATAACTGGCTTAGTTAAGAGTCAATAACCGTCTTCAAGGCTAGCTGCAAATGGTGCGGTTTTTGACGCATTTATGAAATCGTGTCAACGGTTGTAAAATCCTCCGCGTGCGACAATCGGTGAATGCAAATGATTGTAAACGTGGATGGCGGCACGAACTGCCTCCATTTCACCTTAAAAGCCACAAAATACTGAAAAAACCGTTATCAGCACTTACATTTCACTTTCCCAAACGTTCCAACACCTAAAGTTGTTCCAAGCAAATAATTTCCGATACATAATTTCGCGTTAATAGTTTGATCTCTACGGTCTTTAGCCGCCATGTTTGGGTACGGAATCACGTGGTCCACCGCTTTCCTTCGGCGTCCAACAAGAAACCGAGGCATTGTGGTCTACCTTGGAGACCATAAAAATTATGGCGATCACTGTTAAAGGGGTGAATCTCCAGTGGAATTTATCCTCAGAAGAGATCCTGAAACGAACTGATGAGCTGATCGAGAAATCGAAGAAGGTTTACGATGCTGTTGGTGCGTTAAACCCGGACGATGTGACATATGAAAACTGTTTGAAGGCAAGTGAACTTTTTGATCGTTTCTTCCTGATCCGGCCCTCTTGACAATTCCTGCACGAGTGTTTCACGTGTGTTGTCCGCGATCGTCAGTGATGTTCTTTCCGTTAAGATGTGCACGATCAAGTGAACCTTTTGTTAGAATTTCACAATAAAGGAAAGTTTTGACGGATAATATTTACCACGTGCCCTGTAAAAATTATTGACTTGATTTTTCTGCTGCTACACTAATGTTTACCACAACGCTTCAGTGCTCCGATCAGACTGTGGAAAAATAAATCTCACTAACTAGACTAGACTTGGTTAAAGACGGAAATATCGAATTTCTAAGTCCTAACTCCAAAAAATATTATTTCAAATTAAAAAAAAAAATGAAATTACACGTATAAAAAAAAGTCGACCTAATTGCTTAAAAATGCGATTACATGCAAAGGTTTTCTATTTTTGACTAACCAGATGGCTTTAAATTCACTAGTTATTTGTAATATTTTTAGGATTTCGCAAGAAAGTGTGAACATCGCTTAAATTACATGCCAAATAGGTATAACTGCACGTGGAGTGCGTGCATCTAAAATTTACGGAACGAGTTTCAATCACGAAATCGTTATAAATTAAAAAATTGGTCAAGGGGTTGTTTTTTACCTCCACGTGCATTTTCTTTCGTAAGGGTGCATTATTACAATCAGGCACTGTAATCTCCCTCTTAGCCCTGAGGCATTCCATTACTTGAAGCATTAACAGATCACTGATGCGTGAAGGATCTAGCTTAAATAAATTTGCATAAGGAATTAAAAGTAAAAATATATTATCTCATTTAGAACAAGCTGCATAGCTAACCCTTTCACTCCCAGGGTTGATGACCAACAATGAATTTCTCCCAACAATATTGATACATTCTTCCATGGAAAGGTGGTGAGAAGAAATATAATTATCAACTAGGGGATATTGCTTGATTTGATGATAAAAAATTGTTGGAGAAAAAAATTTTTCACAGTAGATGGTGGTATAGTAGACAATGTGAAGAATTACTTTAAGAAGATAATTTTGGTTATATCAACTGAGTTGGTAATGTAAATTGGCCACTGTAAATAGTTATCAATTCAGTTGATAGAACCAAAATTAACTCCCCCACCAATGCAGCAC